GCTGGGATAGATGCATTATCAGCTAAACTACTTGCGTTTGTTCAGAGCCAAGTATGTATACTAGAAGAGGTGTATAATTTATAATGCAAAATGCAGACCGCATAGTACACACTCTGTAGATACACATACCTAGACAACCTTCAATTTAGACGTGTGAAGGTTAAAATGGCTCGGGCTACCAGCTGTAGCAACTGTAGACAAATCCAAAGATCCTTAAATCATAAGCCTCTTCTTCTAGAAAGAGGTAACTAAATGCTGCGTTGACATAACTCGGTGTCCAGACTCAACAAATACACTTCGGGAACTAATTTTGCCGGCCCGAACATGTGTTGATAGTGTTGATAGACAACCTTGGAATTCTCACAACGTCCAGCTCAACCATGAGGCTATTTGCTACCGGTCGAGCCCTGCGTGCGAGCAGTGGCCGTTGGTCAATTGCCTCAATCCGACCCCAAACCGCCATTCCCCGCTCGCTCCCACTGACTCCCATTCTCTCCCGCAACCGCGAATGGAGCTCAACCGCCGCTCGCCGGAGTGAACAAAAAGCAACCGCTACCTCTAAACCACCCCAGCAACAATCGAGCCTCAAAATCGAAGGGGAGACCTACCCAACCGACCAGTGGACCAACACCCCCGATACAATCCTATCCCATATCGGACGACGACTCTATCTCGACGACAACCACCCTCTCGCCATTACACGCAAGCTCATCGAAAGCCAATTCGCAGCCCCAAGCTATGGCAACTACTCAGAGAAGAACCCCGTCGTCTCAACAAGACAAAACTTCGACGTCCTCGGCTTCCCCGCAGATCACCCGGGCCGCAGTCGCACAGATACCTACTACGTGAACGACAAGACGGTGTTGCGCACGCACACAAGCGCCCACCAACAGGCCTACTTCCAGCAAATCGCCCGCAACGAGCACACCCGCCCAGAGGAGGTCGGATACACCGTGATCGCCGACGTCTACCGTCGCGACGCGATCGACCGCAGCCACTACCCCGTCTTCCACCAGATGGAAGGTGCGATGCTGTGGAAGCGGCCCGCGACGAACCCCCTCGCCGCCTCGGCCGAAACAGCAGCGAGGATCATGGCCGATGTGGAGAAGATCCCGCGCCACGATGTCGTGGTTGAGGACCCGAACCCGACTATCCACGCGCAGCGGAACCCGTTGCAGGACGAACACCACAGCGCCGAGGAGGTCGAGGCTGTGGCTGCACACCTCAAGCGCTCCCTCGAGCGGATGGTCATTAAGGTCTTCACGGAAGCGAGCAAGGCCGCTGCGGCGAGTAGCGGTGGTGCGGAGCAGGAGCCGCTCAAGGTGCGCTGGGTCGAGGCTTACTTCCCGTTCACCAGCCCGTCCTGGGAACTGGAGGTGTTCTGGCAAGGGGACTGGCTGGAGATCCTAGGCTGCGGCATTATCAAGCAGGATCTGTTGATCAATTCAGACGTACCGGACCGGATTGGATGGGCGTTTGGACTGGGCATTGAGCGCATTGCTATGCTTCTTTTCAATATCCCTGATATTCGGTTGTTCTGGTCACGGGATGAGCGATTCTTGTCGCAGTTCCGCGCTGGCCATATCGCACGCTTCGAGCCTTTCTCTAAGCACCCGGCTTGCTACAAGGATGTTGCTTTCTGGTTGCCTCCTGCGGCTGTGACGGGTGGTAACAGTGCTGCTGGTGGAGCTGTACCTTTCCATGAGAATGATGTTATGGAGATTGTTCGTGGGATTGGTGGGGATCTTGTTGAGGATGTTACTCTCATTGATGAGTTTACGCATCCTAAGACCTCGCGCAAGAGCATGTGCTACCGCATTAACTATCGGAGCTTGGAGCGGACTCTCACGAATGAGGAGAGTAACGAAATGCATCTGAAGGTCCGGGAGAAGTTAGTTGGGGAGCTTGGAGTTGAGCTGAGGTGAGTTTGGAGATTGTTGGGCTATACTTTGTACTATACTGTGATTATTATGGAGAACATGTAACATATAGCATTCCTCTCATTGAAAAAATCGATATATGGATACCACTCAAGTTCTAATAGGTACAGACTATAGCTAGCTTTGTCTTTGATTAGGGTCTAATTTAGGGTACCGAAGGTGGAAGGAGTATGAAGACACTAGAGGTTATGACAATGCCCCTAAGAAGTGTGTATTATACAGTGAGGAGGAGAGAATTATCAGGGGACGTAGAGCTGCAGACGTCACGAAACAAGTGAGAAGACACCACCAACATGAGACATTCCGTACGCCTCCAGACACATGCAACAAGGGCGTATCATACAGCTGAGTCAAAGAGACGAGCAGAAGATAGTAAGGAATAGTAATTTTCCTGGGTCCAAAAGCCAGCCGTATCCGAGTATAAAACCCTATCGTGATCATGATGTATGACATATGGTACAAAGAGAAGGAAAGAAGAGTGAAAAGGCAGGAAGGTCGAAGGATTAAGAATCGAAGTTATTGCCGACGATTTAAGCGTTCTTGACGACACCGACCTTGGCGGCCTATAAGAGAAAAGAAAGCAGTTAGTCAAAATATTCCGCAAGAACTTTGGATCTTAGGAGCTAGCACTCACCCGCAGAACGCGGCCGTTAAGACGGAAGCCCTTGCTCTGGACGTGCATAACATCACCATCCTCAAGATCAGCAGCCGGAGCCATGAAGGTAGCCTCGTGCAAGTTTGCGTCGAACTTCTGGGCCTTGCCGTCGACCTTCTCGCCGGGGTCGAAGCGCTCGAGGCCGTGCTTCTGGAGGGTGTTCAGGAGGATTTGCTGGGTCATGTTGAGACCGGCGACGAGATCGAGGAGGTCCTTGTTCTCTTCGTTCTTAGCAGCGCTGATCTTCTCTTCGGGCACAGCTAGCAGCGCGCGATCGAAGTTGTCGATGCTATCAAGGAGGTCTTTGGCGAAACCCTGGATGGCGAACTTGCGGGCGGCGTCCATGTCGCGCTTGTTGCGCTCAACGAGGTTGCGGGATTCCGCGACGGAGCGGAGCCATTTGTCCTAAGAGGAAGTTTTGGTTAATATTCATCTGCGAAAGAGTTGCGGAGCTACCCGTAGCAGTAAGTATAGGGAAATAGCTTACCTTGAATTCAATGGCTTCCTTTGTCTTCTGTTCGAGCTCCTTCTTGATGGGATCCTCGGCCTCTGCGTTCTCTGTACTCTCAGACTTCTCGGCTTTCTCTTTCTCAGCTTCGGTAGCTTCCTTGGTCTCTGTTGAATAGAGACGGGTAGACCGGGGGACGAATGGCCGGATAGCCGGGATACGCGGTTGTTGTGTAGTCCGTCGCAGCGCCAGCGATGCGGTGGAGGGCGAGGAGGTAGAGAGGATGGAGCGTGCGGCCTGAGCCTGTCTGAGGAGTGTTCGTTGGAACATTATGAATGGTGATGTGTGGAATTGAGAATAGATACTCGGTGAACTTGAAGCGGAACCATTTGTCCTCGGACAAATTTGATCGGGAATCACCTGACCTTAGCAAGGAAAAACGCTGGGCCGAGGGGACCTTCTTTTGACTTCTCCAGAGCTATTACGTATCCCTAAGCTTGGTCGCATATGAAGTACCTTATTGACTTGCAAATATCGCCCAGTGGGCCATTTGCACCTCCCCGAGCATACAAAGGATGTATACTTTATTCATCGCCTGGACATTATAGTCCGTTCTACACTTTTGAAGCATGATCATTGTGATATGTTGCTCATTGGGGTATTTCGAAAACGTATTAAGCTATGGAAGACATTCATGGAAAAGATCGAAATGATTGCTTCCTCTCAACAGTTCTTCTGGGATCAGACGTTCGGTTCATTTTCCGCATGGGACTTAAGAATTCGCGTGATGGCACGGCCTTCCTCTCGATGCTCTCTCACGTTATAGTCCAACCCGTAGGCGAGTACAATTCCCCATTCAGACATGAATCTCTTCGTCAACCAACGGTTTTCGGCCCATGTAAGCGGCTCTACGCCGGAGGCTCGCATCAGACCGGAGGCCATCAATGCTTCAAATCTCTGCCGCTCATGCTGGGACCAGAAGGCGTGAATCATGTAGCGCCCGTTAGAGCACAAGGGCGAAATCCCGAACTCATGGCCGAGTGGAGGCGCGCCAAGTTGGACTTGGTACAGCATGGGGCCTTCACCCATAGGCTTAAAGTAGGCCGCAATGCGACTATTGGTGTTCTTTAATATAAAACCGGAGCTATCTGGGGCACTGGAGTCGCATATGATAGTGTAGTCGTCTTCGATGGGCCTTCCGATGATGTTGCAGAGCATTGCTGGGGTATGGAGAACGTTCTTCAAGCAGATGGAGCTATGCGAATCCAGATCGGTCTGGGTTGGCAAGCTCGTGGTGGTGAGATTGACAGTTCCCATCCCAATGACTTCGACCATGCCTCCAGCTATATCCGTGACATAAGACCTGAAGGGGATGTAGTCTGTACCGAACCAACAGCGATCTTTGGCAGTACTGGCCTAGTTAGATGGATGGATTTGGCCCTGCGAGGCAGGAAATACTCACTGCGTGTCTGAGTTGTTGGAATAGACCCAGGAGGGACATGGAGGAGGCGGTCTGTCAGGCCTCACAGGCATCGATGCCATGGCGAAGCAATGATTCGAAGACAAGCCCGAGGATTTGGGAAAGACGTTGAGAAGTTCAGTTGTGATTCTAGCAAATCCAGATACAGAGAGATCTGTCTTCTGTATTCGCTAGATGAAGTGGAATAGGGAAGGAGCGAGATGAGAGGGAACCAGATAGGAAGGAAAGAAGGAACGAGGAAGCAGCCCGGATGGGCCTGTTTGTTTGTCGTGCACAATTGCTTGCCCGGGAAGTCACTGTATCCTCAGACCTCAACTATTTTTCTCCATGGCTGCATTACAAGTGGACAATATTCACTGCCGTTAGGGACCAAGGATTTCTCCCTTATAGACAGACTCGGCATTCTACACTGTCTCCCAGATGTGGACATGAACAATGGCCAATCCCATGTAGTAATCATAATATGCGTCAACGCTATCACTTATCATATGAATGAACAAGCCTGATGATGCTAGTTCCGTCGGCCAGAATATGTTTCTCTTCCTCGAGTTTATAGCCTCTCCATCGTGGGAGTAACACTGTCCAGATATACCAGTAGAGAACCCCAGAGAGCATACTGTGTTTGTTAGCGAGGTAATTCACACATATAAGTATTGCCACTCACATTCCAATCCCGACAAGTGGATAGGTTGCATAGAAGAGATCGAGGTCGCGCCAATTCGGCGGAGGGACGAATGGTGCTACTAGCAGGACTAAACACACCACAACCCGTAACCAGACAGCCGGCAACCACGCTTTGAAGGGCCGTGGAAGATCAGGCTCCCGGTATCTTACTATAAGCAGACCGACTGTAATAGCCAAGGCAAACATCTGTCCAGGATATCCCTCCAAATCCAGGATAAAGTTATAGACGTCCCCTTGTGGTGGCAGGGCAAGAACCAGCATAGAAGGGATATAGTGTACAATAAGTCCCCCCAGTGGAGTCCCAAATGGCCGCGAAGACGATAGAATGTTTTGCCATGGAAGAAAGCCTTGTCGGGCTATCTCTTGATTCACACGCGCCTATCAATGTTAGCATTTATTAGCTTTCAATGCAATATATCCAAACGTACCAAGCCAAAGGTCACCACCATCACATTCCCGGCAGCTGAAATGGCAATAGCAAGTGGAAAGAATATTTTTCCAACCTGATCCCCAAATAATCTCTGGAATAGCAGTGCACCCACTAATTCTCCGCTATTCTTGATCTCTTCGAGCGGAATGACGAGGAAGTATGAAAGATTCGCAAGAAAGTATAGGCCCCCAGCCGTGACCAGTGCAGTGGGACACACGGTCTTCACTATATTCACCGGGTCATGAACTTCACTGAGGACATTATTCACGTTGCTCAAGCCAGCATAGGAATAGTAGACTTTGAACAAAGCCGACGAGAGCAGACTCCAGCTCCAGTTCGATCCTTCCCACAACGAATCCCAAGAAAACGGACCAACTCTCTCTACAGGCGATAAGTTATCAGTATCTCCATGCAAACCGAGAAAAACCACCCAGACTCCCGTCAAGGACATCGCGCCGATGAGGAAGATCTTCACCCAGCCAAGCACATTCTGGACAAAGATGCCAGTTTTCAAGAAACAACCATGGACAATAGTAATGGCAGTCAAGAGGCCAACAGCGAGTGCCTTGTGCTGGATTTCGGTAGGCTCAATACTCAGCGCGAAGAACGCGTATTTCGAGAAGATAATGCAGTTGCTCGCCGTGAACCCCAGGAGCACTACCTGAGCTGTTATAAGGCTTGACGCGAGAAAGCGCGGTCGGGGATAGGTATACTCGAGGTACACCTGCACGGAAATGAGATTAGTTTAGCCGACTTGTTTCTGCTAATCCAATCCTGCTGCAATGTCTTTTACCTTTTGTCCTCCCGAGCGAGGTAGCATGCATCCGAATTCCATAAAGACGGCTAGGCCGCAAGCTGATAATATCGTCCCAACCAGCCATACTAGCAAGGTCAATCCAATACTTCCAGCGGATCTGACGATTGAGCCTGGTGTTGCGAAGATCCCGCTCCCAATCACTTGCGAAACGACTAGTATGTATGCGCTTGACCAGTTGATGCTCTTTCTGTAGTGCGTCCCTGGTAGAGTATCGGGATATAGTGGGGGAAATCATCGGTTAAAAGGTCGAGTGGTTCTTGTTGAGAGCTGTCAGATATAATGTTGGATTGACTTGATGAGTTTAAAAGAGGCTGTCTCTCCTGGATATCCATGCTGAGCTGTTGCAGATGGTTGGAGTACGTTGTATAGTTTGAACAACTATTTGATTATGCTGATTACACGGAGGAAATCATTCTAGAACATAAATTAATTCAGCCCAAAGGAGAGTCGAGGAGATAAGATGTTTTGGGTGCTTGGAAATCATCGGATTAGCTGGCACGTCATTCAGGCCGACTGTTGTGTGTATCGGATTCTTGCAGGTGGTTTACGCCATAGGAATGTGATCGCACAACTCACATTAATAATTAATACGAGGTATGTAACTGGCCTATCATACTTTGGCTTTGAAATCAATGTTAAACTATGACCGAATACTCCAGTACTTTATTCGAGGTGGAGATAATGACCCGTACTGGGATAGGACTATATATAGCAGAGTTATTCAGAGATAACCACGAAAGATCAAAGAGGAATATTCAGCCCAGTATAAAGTGCAGTCATTTAAATTCCAAACCCGAATATATTCCTACTCATAGAGTCCAACTATCCAACCATCAGAGTACATATCGGCTGTTTCTGAATTAGTATCAGCAGACCAACAAACGTGTAGATGAGAACTAACAATGTCAAATTCTCCCTGTCAGTCAAATCCAACTGACTATTATCCACTACGCGAGCGACTTTACCCCCATCCGAATCAACCGTCTCGACAACCCCATTGCTAGCGACCTGATTAAACTCCGCGAGCTTGTCGCGACGTTTGTTCTCTCGGCTTAGGTAGATCCGGAGCGCGATAATAATTATCGAAGGAAGAATCGCAGCAACCTGAAGAGCTATAAGTCAAATATTCCGCACGTAACTTTGTCCAAACACGACTTACCACAAGCAAAATAATCCAAGTTGGTCTGTACCGAGGCTTGAATGGTTGTTAGTATGACAGTCCAAGCCAGCTCGAATTAAGAACTCACCTTCCATTCCGGCCGGAATAATTGCGGAGAGATGATATTTCCCAGTCCGTATCCAATATGATAAAGCGCAATGACGGTAGTTTTCTTCGTATGACCCGCGGACGCATTGGCGGCCCAGATCATCACAACAGCATATGGGATACCGGTTGTAGATCTAATCCAGATTCCGACGATGAGACCCCATCGATTGGACCAGGGCAAGGCTGTCGGACCAATTAGTAGTGGATCGGAATTTGAGAAGAAGAGGACTACTAACCTAGCAGAAGGATACTTGAAAGAGCACCTGGAATGTATGCAATGAGTGATATCCATGCTCGGCAGTTCTGCAAGTTTCAGTCCACATTCGCATTAAATGACCGAGTCTGGCTTACCTTGGTGTGATACAAAGTGATTGCAGCTGATATGAGAGAAAAGAACGACACCACACCCGTGACGGTTCCTAATAGTGTTGTTTGAAGAACGGTGAAACCAAATGATTTGATGATCACGGAATATTGATTCGTGACTCCGTTTGCCATTTCCTGGAACCAGGCGTGTAGGAAGAAGAGCCAGGTTTTGGGGTCTTGAATTGCTTCAATAAACCTAGAGCTCTAGTCAGTTATTGAATATCAAGTTTCTTTAGGTATGGGGTCTGACTGATATCTTTTGAAAACCTTTTGCTCGATTCCGGAGTGGTTCTCTTTGATCCGTAAAATAGCCTTCGCACGTTCCTCGTGTGTTAGGAAATTAGCATGGATAGGACTGTCGGGAAAGAAGAAATAGACAAAGACACCGAAAATGACCGTAAGAATACCAGTGATCACTAGAATAGAGGTTAGCAATCTGAAGGATATACTCGGGGAACAACCATACCCATGAACCATTTCCACGGAGAAAAGCTGCCCGTATCAATCCAAAGAACACCATAAGATAGCAATCCTGACGTGATAGGACTTGCATTACCAATTGACCACATAACCGGCATCATGACGGCCTGCTCGCCATAAGTAAAGAACATGGACATGGAAAGCAGGAATGCTGGAACGATGCATGCTTCTGCTACCCCAAGGAAGAAGCGAACAACAAAAAGAGATGCAAAACTGTTGCAAGGAATATGCAAGAGAGTGATTCCACCCCTTTAGAGCCAGTCAGTGACTGATATACCATTGGTTGAGGACGAGTGAAGAACTTACCATATTATCAAATTGCCAGCCAGCCACTTCCCAACAGGAAACCGCTGCAAGGCCCAATTCTGCGGCCATTCAGCCAGAAGATACCCGAAATAGAAAATTGAAGAGAGCCAGTTGTATTGATTCGAGTTTAGATGCGCATCTTGCATGATCCCTAGGATCGCAGAACTTCCAAGCTGCTAGCATGTTATTACTGGATTCTCCTATTCGGGGAGCAAATCAACATACCGTTTGCTTATCGACATACATCAAGTGATATCCAATGCAGAGAAAGGGTAAAACCCGCCATAAGCATTTGTTGCGAATCTGTATTGCTTCTTCGGGAGTCGGATCTGTGACCTGAATTTTCGAGAACAGCTTAAAACTCTCATCGGCAAATTGATCAGGGAGCTTTGGGGTGTTATTGAAATCATTGTCACTTTCTTCATTGGCTTGTGTTTCTGCCACGAAGCCAGGTTTATGGTCTTCTACTGCCATCGTGTGAGGTATAAGCAACGAAGAATATGAACAACCCGCGTAAAAGGCTTAATTAAATGCATAATGGCAGCCCTGCACAGGTACTTATGATAGTCATTAGCCTATAGATAAAATTGCGCAATGTTCCTAAGCTCCGTCGTCTTCACACTAATGAGAGATTCGCACCAGATAAGAGGAAGGAGACTGCGGGCTCACCACAGTCTTCTCCTAATCTGGAAGGTCGTGCACTATATCTTACTTGGCAGAGAAGTGCTTGGTTAATCAAAACGCGATGTTCACCTATACAAACGCGAGTTTGACTCCAAAGCACGTCTAAAGTCGCCATTGCGGGGTTGCGTCAGCGCTGCATTGTTGGCGTGCTTAAAAGCTCCGAAGTCATGGCCGCGATAGACCGAACTATAAAATTTTTCTCACCACAAGTAACTTTTTATCGCAACTGATCCCTGCCGAATCGACGGATATCCAATTATACCTCAACATGACAGAAAAAAAGGAACCTATTCGCGTCTTGATTGCCGGCGCAGGCATCGCAGGTCTGGCCACGGCTATATCGCTAACACGCGTATCAACCGTTCCGAACTTGGATATCCAGCTATATGAACAGGCTCCAGAGCTCCTGGAAATAGGAGCTAGCATCGCACTCAGTCCAAATGTAGGTATCTCGCGCATTATCTCGAAACGATTAAAGCATCTAACCGTGAATGTGAAATATCAGGGCATGCGCACACTGGAGAAACTCGGCGTACACAATGCCCTAACAGACGAAGTTGGGTTTAGAGGCCCAAGTGGAATCCCACAAATATTCCGGTATGGATCTATCACATAGACTCGAGTTGTACTGCTCAGCATGCTGACTGATAAATAGCCACTGGAAAACGAACCAAGTCGTGTCTACAGACACTCACACTAACGTCCCCGATCCCCGTCACCATACCACCCGCTTCCACCGCGGCCATGTGCACTCTGCTCTGCTCGAGCATGTCCCCAAAGAGTCAATCCACTTGGGCAAGAAAATTGCGCGCGCAGAAGCCAATCAGGATGGTGTTTCGTTGTATTTCGAGGACGGGAGTAGTGCCCACGGAGATATCCTCATCGGGGCAGATGGGATTCGATCGGTTTGTGATATAGCTTGGTTAGCATGTACTTTGCTAACTCCAGTTCAGAGTGTCAGACAATCGTTCATCCCGGATTATAAGCTACGGTTCAGTGGGAAGGTATTCATGAGGGCGACATTTGATGCCTCGTTGGTAGAGGGCAAGATCCCTGATTTGCCTGCTGATTCGATGCATTGGGTATGTTATCGCTACATTGGGGAGCTTCAAAATAGTCGCTAACAAACCTGTCAGTGGGGTCCTAAAGACAACTTCTTTGCGTCTCGTCTTGGTAAGTGGAAAAGAGCCAGCATTTCATGGCTGCATAGATCTGACAAAACCAGGCAAGGACCAGTACACCACCGTTGGTGCATACGATGACCCGCGTTCAGTAGACGAGGTGGAGAAAAGCATTGCGTGGGATCAACTTGGCAATGTGGAGTTCCTAAGAGAGCGATACAAGGTACGTTCTCAATCGACCTGTCCGAGCCCCAGCTAACTCACAACCCTTAGGAATGGAATCCGACGGTCAAAGCTCTGACCGAGCTTACACCATCCACAAATCTCTATCCCAATTTCGCGGGAGATGCTCTCCCAACTTGGGTCTTTGGGTCACGAGTGACTCTAGTCGGAGACGCAGCCCATGCCCATGGCGGTTCCTTCGCAGCCGGAGGCTCGCTGGCGTTAGATGACTCCCTCGCCCTTGGCCTTGCATTCAAGGAAGTGTTCTCTTCAAGAAAGGCCACGTTCTCGGCTGGAAATATCAAGAAGGCATTGGGGCTGTACACTCAAACCAGGCAGCCGCATACAGCTCGGTTGCTGGGCATTGTGCACAGCCAGATCGACAAGAAAGGTACTATTTTTGCGACACCCGAAGAAGAGGATGCTGCGCTTGTTGCTCGGATGACTAGCAGGCCAAATACGGAGTGGCTATCGGAACACGATGTTGAAGCTGCGTTCAACGCTGTCGTTGAACAGGAACGGGCGCAGCGACAGGTACGCCTTGCTGCACCAGAAAGGAAGACAGGTGGAGAGGTCCAGCTCCAGGGAAGCAAGTTATAGAATAGATTCGTTGATTGACTCTTGGTTTATTTAGCACATAGAGGATTGTGTTTATGCTATGTGGTCACTTTTTCTTGACATTTTAACTGGTGAGACACCCGAAAGACATCCGTTCATCGGAATCTACCTATCCGATTGGCTTTTGCGACATTCGGCCGAAAAGCAAGACTAGGGTCTGGTGTGCTGTACAACGGATAGTTAGGACAGATGATCTGAATTCCCGAGCAAGGCTTGTGGGCCAGGATGTGCCACGAATATCTGTTCCACTATGCTTTCACCATGTCTCGGGAATCGATAGGGTATACGCTCCATGAATAATCAATTGAGTAGCCTTACGGCTGAAGCAAACGTGTCTAGTCCCAGCCTCCCAGGCTTACTATTGTAAAACATTGGGTTGGTTATCCAAGGCTTGGGAGAAAAACACAGGTGGCAATGCGATAGTGGATGGCCCTAGAGGCGTAGGCAGAATGATAAAAGTGCAAGCCAATGGGGCTTAGGCAAGGCTAGTGATAAGGAATAGCCTTGTATAGGAGTATTCTGTACTACGCTGTATACGATGTACTCTTCCTTGTTCGGTTAAGTCGGATGTTCCGTCAAAAGGGGCGGAGCTTCTGTTGAGGTCACGTGGTGTGGCTGGTGCAGATCAAAGGATCAACTGAATTCTGTGTGGCGTGTGTGGCGCACGCATGGAATTATGGCTCGGAATGACGGAAGGCTATAGTTTATTCTAGTAGAATCCAGTCGAATGAAGCAAAATATAGTAGATCGTCACAGCTCTTTGATCTGAAGGAGTTAGGCTTGAACCGGGAACAGGTGGATCGCCAGGAACATAAAGACGTGGTATGTATGCCAGAGGCAGTGCAAGGACAGCTGCGCCTCACGAGAAAACATCCCATCTTGTATTAAATAGAGGCAAATCCAGAGTCTTTTTTGTCTTTCCAGTTCAAACAATTCTGAATAATCTCGCCATCCGACAGTCCATTGGACATTCTAGAACATTTCTCTAAACCAGTTCTTATCCGGTGGCAACCTCCTTTATCTTCTCCTTATCCAACCTCCTCCAACATACCCAAAACATACAACCTACACACAAAATGGCTACTTCAGTTTCAATGACTACCCCATCTCACTCCTCGCGGCCATCCCTATCCCTAGATATTGCCAACATGCCCCCACTCTCCCAGCCAACACCACCCTCCAACACCCTCCTAATCACCGGTCTCCACGATCTACTCGTCTTCCAACCCCCAGCACTGGAAGAAATCCGCAAACAAATCACCGAAGTGGCACCTCTGAATTCCTTCTCTCCACTCCCGTCCATGCGCCGCATCGTGTGCTCCTTCCACAACGAAATCGACGCAACGGCAGTGCGTAAGCTCCTGGACAGCAAGCGCCTCCTAGACCGCAATGTGTACCCGCGGATCTACTTCGGCGAGCCGACAGCACTCCTAGACGGCGGCCGACCGAAGCTCCTCGAAGCCCCGCAAGTCTCCAAGATGTTCTTCATCTCGCCGCCGCCCAGCCCGCCGCACGGATGGGTCGTGCGCACCGAGGGCCCGCCCAACAAGGAAGTCCACGCGACGGATCTGGCACATGCGCTGGCGATGCTGAAGACAGACCATGACCATGCGCAGCCCGAGCCGGCTGCTGTCGACCCCGCAACGCCGGTCTCTATCTCCTCGGACAAGCGCACGTCCAGCTGGCCGCTTGCTGGCCATCAGCGTAGCAGGAGCAGCACCATCATCTACCACCCCGAGGACCATGGTGATAGTCCCCATCTTCCAGCGGTTATGGTTGAGGATATGACGCTGGGTGCTGAAGATGAGGATGTGGATATGGATGCGATGAGCCCCATTGAGATGTCAGTTAATCAGATGCCGCCTAAGACTTCTCGTCCGCCGGTTGAGTTGATGGAGTAGTGTTTTCCGGGGATGCTGTTCTTTTGTGTTCTACATTCTGCATTTTTAGCGAGGCATGGTTGTTTATTGTGTATAGTCGCATCTGTGGCATGCCAGGCGTTGGGAAAGGATGGGCATTTCAGCAGCTTTTCCGGGATTTGCTTGACGTTATTCTTTATTGCTTTACGAGGACCATTCTTAATAAGATTCTTAAATAAACATTTGATATTCATATCTGATCTTTGGTAGTTGTATCTGATAATCTATATTAATGTAATTTGGCTCAGTCTCTTGGTTTGATAGTGAGCTCCAACATCGTCGAGTTTGCAGCGTCAAAGACACTGCTCCAAATAAATCTCCGCCTAGTCCTATACAGGTGTAGAAGCTAGGACAATAAAGCCTTGAGGGCTTGTTCCGACCTTAAGCTGATTCGAAGGCCTGTATCTACTAAGAAACAAGAGCATATAGGGGTTCGTGATTGGTTAGTAGTCTAGGACATTGACTGAGGTTGATTCCACTGCATGATGCCATAACTTATAGGAAGATATTTCATAGTTTAGCAAGTTCCATGATATTCGGTATTTTCAGGTTCACTGAACCAACGAGTAGATATTTGAGATACAGAGACCAGTCATTCTCTAATGTCAGAAGACCGTCCCCACAGCAAAAGATACAAAGAACGGAAAACTCCAGAGTGCGCCCCCATTCACCAGGAAATCAAAACTCCATTGCGCATGCTCAGGCTTTATTTTTATTGCTGGGTTATGCACGTTCAGAACCCATAGCTGCTCTGTCCGTAAGGCGTAGCACCGTACGGTGTCTGTGCACTAGCGCCCCAAGTACTGGCCGCACCGTTTCCGTAGGCAGTCATGTTTCCGTCAATGCCCTCAGGTGGCTCATAAGCATCGGGGTCATTGGCACCCATCATCTCAGCATCGTCAGCTCCGGCATGTCCATCCTCACCTTCACCCAAGAGCACGGAGACGGTGGTTGCGAGCTTGCGCTGGAGCGCCACAATACCCTGCTGGATAATCATATCTGGCTCAAGGTTGCCAATGCTCTCCACGTCAAAGTAGAAGCAATTGGGTTCAGCATCGTAGTCGAAGGGTTGGTCGGGGTTGGCAGCGGGTTCCCAGGCAGCGTTTTCGGAGATAGGCCTATAAAAAGTCGGTATGTTAGCAGATAGATCGAAGAAAGCTCGTGAATACCAGCTCAACACCCAGATACGTACCATTCCTTCACCGGATCCTGCTCATACCAGTAGTCCACATGGCGCAGGTTGTTGTTGGGGTCATATTCAAAGCCGACAGCAGCAGTGGGCGCCCACTTCGCATGCTCCTTAGCGGTTCCCTTCTTTGCCAGACAGGTCATCTTAATCTCCTGCCCTTTGCGCAGCTTGCAGATCAAGGAACCCTTGTTCTCGGGGTCGGTGGTTACAGGATCGCCGATCTTGTCGTTGATCCGCTCGCCAACGACAACCAGATCCCGCGCGTAGACAGACATGATGCCGCTGCTGCAGCGCGCATGCAGAGATAGTGTCACGCTGCAGCGCACACAGTGGTCTTCGCAGTCGCAGTCTCGCGTGTAGTCGAGATCTTGGTCGCAGTTGTACGAGTTCAAGGGGATCATGCCGAGGCGGTGGGCGAGGAACTCATCAGGGAGGACCGAGGTATTGCTTTCGATTTCGATGATGTCGAGTGCCAAAGTGGGCACTTCGGCGAGGATGACTCGTCGGAGGGAGTTGGCGAATGAGAGGTCGACTGCGGTCAGTCTGAAATCGACGCGGTAGGGTTCCGCCTGTGGAATTTGTGAGTCTTTTGTCCTGCTGCTCTGTGGATGTCTCAGCTTACCTCGCGGACTGTCACTTGGGGCCCTGTGGGCTCGAGATCCATTTCGTAATCCATGTTGGTATGTATGCGGCAGCGCTGCTCGCCGCCACCCTTGTCTGGAGCTGAAGGTGTTTATCTGCGGGGCATAAAAGAAAGACGGTAGATTGAAGGGTGCGGGAGTGCAGTGGCGAATGACAGGGTAATGAGAATTGTTGTGGTAGATGAATTGGGCGCGCAGTTGGCTTGAGGGCACGCGGATTTGCTCCCTCGGAGACAGCTTTTTGCGCTTTGCCTAATCGGGTCACAGCCTCTAAAAGTGCCACTATCGAGTCATTCTTCTTTTTTACATTTACAGCTATAATAAAATACTTTCGATTCTTTCTGTTCATTCTATTCTTCTCTTTCTCGTATTTAGATTAGAGAGTGAAGGAAGTATGTCAGATTCGATTCAGTTGCTGGGTATAAACACTGAATCCATCCAAAAGACTGGTATCTAGAACTAAGGGGAGTGTGCGCTCGATTCAAATCTGGCAATTGAAACCGTGCAATTGATTCAGGATAAAGTAGTCCGATATCACAGTTGATAAGCTAAGGTCCTCCAGTATCAATGCAAGAACGTCCCAAAGCCTTCAAATCTGCTTGCGAAAGACGTCTATCAGAAGGAGACAAAGCAAAGCAACACAGGCTCAGATGTTCATTCGCAAATGAAACAGCAGACGGGTAGCGGCAGCCCGTCGAAGATGCAAAAAAAGGTAAAGGTAGACAAAGCCAATAGTAGAAGCGACGAAGCCACCGTTTTTTGGAGTTCATGTCGAGTCATTATCAGGGAGCAGCTCTCTCGGGATAGCAGTGCACATAGAGGTAGAGAAAAGAGGGGGGAGTGTTTGATCTGCAAGAGAACCAAATGTGCACGCGATCGAGGCTACCGCTTTAAAGAGCTGCGATGCAAGGCTTCAAGCAACTCGGGCCGATTTGCAAGGGCAGTGGCAGCCTGTGTATACGAAACCCACTGCCGTTTCCGCTTGTGCATCTCGGGCCATTCGGTTTCCTCCTGCTGGACGGTGACTTCGAAGAACTGATATGAGGCTTTGGGCGCGTGCGCCGTGAGAAGGCCGGAGGGTCTCATGTCCGGAATGAGTCCCAGGTCTCTGGTCACGACACAGATGACACCCGCTTCCTCCCAGGCCTCACGGCATGCAGCCTGCTCGGCAGTTTGCTCATCGAGCTCCCAACCGCCCTTGGGGAGCACCCAGCCTCCGGGTCCTGCGGATTGAATCATGAGGACTTTGGTCTTGTCGGCGGAAATAGGGACAACGCCGGCTACCAGTCGCTCGCCTTTTGAGCCATAGCCTATGCCAAGCCGTTAGAGTCAGGAAACACGGGAACAGTGTAGACGTAAGGGGTACGGGTGCCCACGTGCGCAGCCGCAAAGCGACACCAGCGATAACTCACGTTGGTTTTTCCGCCCAACGCGGGCTTCCATAGACCGTATTTGAGCCATTGTAATAGACAATCGAATATCTTTGGAATTACTCGAGGATTTGGTGTGGGTGGAAAGTCGGGGAAAGGGAGAAAGGGAGAAAAAGAGTGGAAAGGCCAAGGATATCGAAAAGATCAAGGAAAACCCGATGGATGATGCTCTCGGAAGCTCCCTCGGAGCCTGTCAGGTCTCTGAGGTGAGGGAGGAAGCTCCAGATGTCTAGGGTGGTGTCGAGGGACGGGAGTACAGCGCGAGGGCGGTCGGGGGAAATTTTTTTTTTCTCTTTCTGGATATTGCGGAGGTAGGCAATGGAGATCAGGTCTTCCCGTTCATGCCTGACGGGGGATTGGAATGGTAAGTGGAAATAGGCATGGTTTTCAAAAGAAGATCTGAGAAATGGGAGGTTATTGAGGAATGGAGAAACGAAGAGAAGTGGGAATGGAGGGGCACGGCGGCGCCCGGGAGAAGAGTCGAGGTACGTTTCGATTTTTTCCTTTGTTTTTTGTGTCTTTTTTTTATTTTTTTGTGCTCTCGTTTGAATATCTCAACTTGTCTTTGTTATATTGTGCACTATAGTGACTCTAGTCACAATAGAGAGCGCGTAACCTGTTCAATGGCCTTGACTTTACTCTGTTTCACTCTATATATGGTCATGTGACACTCTAGATGGAAGAAGTAACTGGGATGTTTCTATATTTGCTAGAATCTGCTGTATTTTGATACATTTGCCACAGTCTGCTCTGACCTACTGTAATCTACGCTTACTATTCCAATCATCCAATCTCATAACCCTATGTGCGTCGGGTAATGAGCCTCTTACAACGGGATTTGGTACCGAGATGGGAGAATTTCGGGAGTTTCGACCAGAAACTATAAGATCGGCCGTGTGGCTGGAGCGATGAGATACATAGACAGACCTAACTAGGTCGACCCAACTAGGTCGACCCAACTAGACCTAAAAAAAACTACATAAGCACGCATAAACGTAACTAGTCAGGTCCCCCTTACCATAGTCCGCATTTACAACATTAACCCCCGCCGGCTTCTCCGACTTCATCTCTTCCGATACTACAACTCACATCCACTCGCCAGTGCACGCCAACGGACATCCAATCTAAACATGCAACGGGTTGACGCCGAACGCGCGCGAGAACTGTCGCTATTCCGCCCACTAGGTACGTCCCACTCTCCTGCAGGGAACCACTGAGATAGGCCTCTGTTACCCCGTGGTAGTTCCACTGGCCCAGAGCGCTACCACTGAGGGGAATTTGGCGGGGATGGCAACGCCAATGCATGCAGCTCTTTGATCGTCCAGCCATTCCGATGCAGAAACTAATGTGATGTGATCTCAGGTTACCAAAAGAACTCGTGTGGCTACTGCAAGTCCAAAGATGGAAGTTGGTTGCCCCTGACTGCTTTGTTGGCCCATTTTTCTTCTTTCAGGTCTAGAATGGCTATGCTGACTGGTAAAAGGTGCATCGTACTACGCCAGCTCCACGTCCGTACTCCCGGAACATTATCAAGAGCTGATCAATGGCGGCTGGCGACGGTATGAACCCCGGTTTAATTTCCCTGTAGCCCATCAGACCATACTGACATATTTAGATCGGGAAACCTCTACTACAAACAAAACCTGCTTCGGTCTTGTTGTCCTCACTACACCCTGAGATTAGAGGCATCTGCTTATCAGCCCCGCCGGGATCAGCGCAAGGCCATTAACAAATGGAACAAATTCATTCTAGGTCCCGAGTATATGCGAAAGGCATCCCGGCTTTGTCCGCAAACCCGCGAGTAAGCAATCCTATATTACCAATTTTGCTATCAGATTCTTGCTAACCAACGCATAGAGAGAAAAAGCACCGCAAGTGCCACTTTGACCTTCTGCCCGCTGTCCACCAGAGCGAGTACGACCACGTCAAACGGCCAATTGACCCTGCTACCAAGCTTCCTATTGAACCAGCGCACCGCTTTGAAGTCACCATTGAAGGTGACTCTGTGTCTCAGGCGAAGTTTGAGCTGTTCCTCAAGTATCAAACGGCCATCCATAAAGAGGATGTCTCTCACTGGAAACCCAAGGACTTTCAACGCTTCTTATGCACAGGTATCAAGCGAACTCCGAATCCCCTAACCGCCGCCAATGCTTCCGAGAGGAAACTCGGTTCATGGCATCAATGCTATCGTCTTGATGGCGAGCTCATTGCTGTCGCGGTATTGGACTTGGTCCCCAGCGGCGTTAGCTCCGTCTATGTCTTGTAAGTTAATGGCTGCCTACACCTGAAAACACCTAAATATGATAAGCTGATGTTCGATTCCAGCTACGATCCCGCCTATGAGCAATGGGAAATCGGCAAGCTGAGCGCCATGCGTGAAATTGCCTTCTCGATCGAGAATCAGTATATGTACTACTACATGGGTAGGTCGCAATCGTGAAACTGGTCCTTATTCGTGCACCTCTGACAATCGACATATAGGGTACTACATTCATACCTGCCAGAAGATGCGTTACAAGGCCAATTTCCGCCCCCAGTACATCCTTGGTAAGTTCGACTCGTGTCTAGTCTTAGTACATACTTTTGTACTACGTGAAAATCATGCACAACATCTAACCCTTTTCTCTATTGCTTAGATCCTGAATCCTCCGACTGGGACCCACTTGATGGCGAATTGATGGAGAAGCTTAATTCCCGTTCCTATGTCTCTTTGTCTCGAGACCGAACATCCTCGCCTACGCCTCTGGTCCCGGAAAGTGATGCCGATCTAGAGGAAGTTTCCCTCTTCGATATCGGTATGCCTGGTGTTCTTACTATCCCCCAAGTGGAAGCACTGGACCTGGATCATTGGCTGCTGTTCTTTGACAACAATTTTGTTCACATGAAGGTATGCATTTATTCTATGATTTCCGGTCCTATGGATATCTTTACTAAATCAAAATAGGATCTGGTCAAATGGGAAACCATGTCAATGACTTCGCCAATGTCCATCAAGGGAATCGTCGCCGAGTTGGCCGCAGTCCTGGGCCCGAAGATTGTGCGAAACAGCGCAGTGGATTTGCTCGGTTGATCAAAGACGATGTTTCCGGGCGATTAGAGCCTAGGTTTACTACCGCCGAGACCGACTGGGGTTCCAAACACCAGCAAAAAAGATGGAACAGATAGAGTAATTGTGTCGAATAATTGATTCACATGCAATTCAGTCAAATCCGCCAAATCGAGGCAGTCTCTTCTGGTTATCTTAATTCTAGATCCATAGCAAGCGACCTGGTAAGTCTATCAAGTTCCTTGGATCAATAAAATGCTAGAAGCTCGACTTATACCAGTCCTAAAGGATATGTGACGCGTATACCGCCCAAACTTCAACGTCATAGATCGCGCTTTCCTTCTACGCGTATCTACGTGCCTACCTAACTAGGAAACCATGCCCACGTGATTCAGTGTTTAACTCTCTCAACTCTCCTCACTCTTCTTACTTTTCTCACCATCCTAATACTCATACCCTTTCACCCGGGCCTTTGGCGCCTAGGCATCCCGAATCCCTCGATCATTCTTCCTTATCTACGCTGGCCCTTAAAAGGGAGGTGCTCCGCCAGGTTTGATTTCACGGAGCATACGATCCGCATGAAAGAGATGAGATCTGGGTTCCTAGTAAGAGGCACCTTCCTGGCATTGAAACTCTCTACTAACTCTTTAAGTACCGATTTCTAATAGGATAGGACCAAGACATGTCCATCCATCGAACAGCCGTTGAAAACCCCTTATTAAGGTGGTTGCGGTACGAATCGAAGGGAGTTACATTTGGGGAACACTTTCAGGACTCAAGTTGGCCCTCCCCCCACCAAGCCCTCACGTTTCTATGGGGGTTTCTTCTTTTATATGTGGGCCTTCTAGTGGTATGGAAGATTGGTTATCTGGGCCAGCGATTGATCGACCGGTATTTACATTGAACTCTGTGAAGTCGGATATTTATAGAAATCGTCATGTTATCCATTATTCTCTCGGAGGCAATTTTGGTGGTCGGGAGATTCACATCAACAAAACCACGTCTTTCTTTTTCCAACTAGACCGAATACCCTCTGGAGTCTCCTTGATACTTGCCGTTTAGTATCGCTGGATCTCAGTCAAGTCTCTCCACTCATCAATCGAGCAATCAGTTTGCTTTTTCTCGGCCATACTTCATCTCACTTCTGGAGCAAACTCTTTCCAATCACTATCACGTTTGAGATTCGGGGCAGTTTCAAATGTCCGTGGGCAGGATAGAATATGTCAGCCAATAGTTTGGCACCCTTTCTCTGCAATACGACAAGGACGAATCTATGCCAAATAAAAACTTTCGGTCCTGTCAGATAGGGATGTCGCCGTAACTCAGTTACGGTTTAGCTGGTGTCGGATCTGGACAAATACGAACGAAGCTTGAACTCATACAAACAGTGCTTTTGTGGAACTTCGACTAGCTACTAGGTTAACATCGCGAAACTCGTCAAACCTCGGAACAGTACAGTCCGATCTACTAGAATCGCCTCTATCAGCCTCGCACAGTGGGACCCCAAGCAAATCAAGCGCTCACGGCCTCGTTCCCCAGAGGAAGAAACGACTCCACGGAAGCACACAAGAAAAATGAGCTGAAAGGAAAAAAAGAAAGGGCTTCAAGGATCTTCAACAGTATATTGTTCCTTCCCCAGGCAGAAATCCAGGAATGCTCTTGCCTTGGGATATCATACCTGTTTTGGATGACTTGAGGCTGAGGCTGTTTTGCTACCTTTTGGGCATCCCGAGTTGCCACAATGTATATCTTCTAAAGACAAACACATACTTGACCGTCTTCTCTTATAATTATGAATGACGAGATAAAAAATACTTATGTAGCTGAGTCGTGCCCAGGTGGTATCAACTTTGTTTGCTGTCTTAGTACCCTCCAAGACTCCCTCCCTTTGTCTACTTCCCAACACGTTCACGCATCTGCACGGTTTCTATCCTAAGTCTATCATATTTGGTACATACAGAGGGGGTCAATTGCTATGCCACGCGGAATGGAATAGAATGGAATGCTATGCTAAACTATATATATGGCCAGAATATTGTCTTTCTCTTCGTTGGATTCTCATCCTCTATTTATATCAATAAGGAGACAGGAATTGGCCTATCGCTCCTACTCCTTGGAGTATAAGAGTAAGCAAGGATGCTCGTTTATAATCAGGGGTCACTAATATAGTACAGGATATTTCAACTTGGCGTGAGAGAGTGTATGTGGCACCTGCCGAGGTTTTCGCATACCATGGGGCATGCACTCACTATGCCTTTCGAGAAGATATAAAGTTGGCCGAGCGATATCAGCCTGAGAAACGATGAAGCCAAATACGGATGGTCCACGGTATACAATTTATAAGTGGAAGGAAGCATTATCCCGATGGCTCCTTTGCCTCCATCTCTCAACAGGACGCCCACCAGGATGGACTGGGCAAATCCCATGCTCTTGTGATTCTAGCATTCCGATCATGTTGTTCACGAATCATTGTGGCAGATGAGGGTGGAAATCATCATACCTCCGAAAATTGTGACGTCCACTGTGACCCGAGCGATAGAATTCCAGTGTTTTTGACATATACAACAACCTTGCCCTCATCGGACAGGGCTTCCATCTAGGTTATCGAGCTAAAAGTGCCTTGGGTGGATGAACACTGAATCGCAAGCTACATGCAAGTCCAATCTTCTAACCATGGATCTCACTTGCGAAGGTTGTTGGCCAAACCTCTGGAATTTATGAAGGATTTTCAATGCATGTACGGTTTCCTATTGAACTACGAGCAAACCATATTCCTGCGACAACGTCATATTGCTCGCCAGATCCAATCGAACCTGGCCTCATGGCTCAAGATGATATAATATCACCTCGGGTGTCTGATTGGATGTTCTCTTCGGGTGTCATTTTTTTTATATATTCCTTCCTTCTCGGTGTTATAGCTAGAAAGGTGATCCTTAGCTATGGAAGGTAGAAATGCGAGGCTCATCAATCACTCTACGACAACCTAAGGCAGCAAAGAACATAAACAGAAGACGTTTCTATGTATAACCAAAGACTTATATAAAGTTACATAAGGACGATGACTATGAACAGTAAGAAAGTTCATTCATACACCCAAAAAAGAATCCCATAACTAGACAGCGCCATGTAGTAAAATCAAGCCAGCTGGCGCCACATGTTTCTATCCGTTTGCCTCGCAATCCTGCATATTCGCCACGAAATCCAAAGAACAAAAAAAAATAAGCAGTCATTCAAAGAGGCACAGCAGGTAAGCCACCATATTCCCACGAAAAGCCCGCAGCCGCGGATGCCCCCTGCCAGATATGCCCTAGAACGCCAGAGCGGAGAGACAAAAGAACCCAACCAAGAACAGGATGCTATGCCAAGAGGATACATGAGGCGGAAAGAAAGAAAAGACAATAAACAAGATCAGGACCCTCAACCCTTCACTCATCATCATCCCTCTCCTCCAACCCATCGATCATAGCCCGACTCGGCTTCCTCCCAGCCCCATAGACCAGCTCCATAAGCTTCGCCTTCTGCCTCTCCCGGACAGTCCGTAGGTAGTCATATGTCCCCTCCAACCCACGGATCTGCCCATCAATAACAGCCTCAACAGGCCCAAGCATGCGGCCCGGAGAACCAGAATGCCCATTCCCATTCCCCCCATCAACGGACCCAACAAAGCTAACAGAGTCATTCCGACGCACAAGCGGGCTAACCAGCTTCCTGCGCAGCGTCTCGAGATTGACCTTCAGCGTGAGCAGTCGGCCGCGGTGGTCAACGAGGAGGTGTTTATTGGCGACAGTGCGGCTGCGGACATTCGCGAGCAATTTCTTGTTCTTCTCGTATTTGCGAACCGCCGCGGCATCGGGCCCTAGCACGCGAGTCCACAGAGAAGAAAGCATCTCGCCCTCTGCGCGTTCCTGGGCGTCGGATTCACGGACGACTGTGCGCTGCAGATTGAGGAATTGGCGGTCGATGGACTCGAAAAGCGCGAAGAGCGCGGTTGAGTGGGTGAGCTCGCTGTTTATTGATTCTTCTAGCACGGCGAGGAACTCCGTGAAGGTACGGGTTAGGGTTGTGCGTGTGCGCTGCGCGGAGGTTGGCCCAAAGACGGCCATTACGAGGTGGCCGAGGGGCGTCGTTGTTGTTGAGGTTGCAGGGACACCGTTATCGGAGATTTGAGCTGACCGTTCGAGCGCGCCGAGGCGCGAAAGCATGTTGTGCATGTTGTCGAACACAATTGTGGGGAGGGTGCTTGGAGGCTGGGCGGAGAGGGTTTCGAGCTCGCGCTTGGCCCAGTCCATTACTATGAGGATGGAGTCGATGTCCGAGTCGACATTTGCGAAGAAGCGGGTTAGCTCGAGGGAGAGGGACTTTAGGGAGTCGGAGAGCTCGTCCAGTTGGCGCACGATTATAGGTGCGCTAGTCATGTTTGTGCCACGGACAGACTCGCTCAGGTCCCAGACTGCGACACCGGTTTCTTGCAGTGTGCCGATTTGCTGAACGCCGTTCTCTGAGTAGTATATCAGTGGTTCGAAGGAGCGTGCGAAGCCGGATAGCTTTACTAAATCGGGGATCGATTGCGGGAGGCCTGGCAGGACCAGGGCGCGCATGAACGCGACTGAGATGAGGAGGATTAAGATAGATAAGGTGGTGTTAGACTTGGAGCTGGTCATGCGCTCGAATTTTGAGCGTAGGTAGCCATACATCGCGGCAATGGGTTCTCGGTGCTGGACTTCTGCACGCACTGCAAAGCGAATGTCTTTATTCATTCACAACAATCGTTAGTATACCCGCGCCTGCAACTGAAACCAGATCAGACAGGGCCTACAGTTGCTCAGATTCTCCGCGCCAAAGCCCACCCCATCGTCCTCGGGACTGCGCCGGGATGCGCGCCCTGTATTCGGGGCCGGAGGCGGACTTGGGGATCTTCCTTGGAGGGGGCTATCTGCGCCCGCCGGTAGAGGCACATTAGCCGCGACAGAGACGTCGCCTGGGGTGGCGCGATCGCCCGGTCTACTCTTCGCGGGGCCCTCGAGCGCATCCTCATACTGTGGACTTGGCTCGCGCGACTGGGAAGGGGAAACACTAAGTCCGACTGTGGGCTTGAGCTGCAAGCAATCCGCAATGAGGTTATCTTTGCGCAGATAGGGCTGGTGGCGATACCATCCACTGCCTTGGACATATTCGGGTGGATGAAAGCCAGGGGGTGACCATCGTTCCTGCGTGGGGTCCTCGATCTCTCCATCGTCTCCGTCTGAGTCTTCAGATCGGAATCCGGAGTGTTGGGATGGCAGGGCGAACATTGGGGACCTTTGGGGATTGGTATTGTTTTCAAAGTCTTCGAGCGACGCGTCCAGGGATGGATGGTCGTCGAAGACGTTGTCTAACTCGTCTAGCATCCCGGACGGCGTATCGCGATAGTCGCGCCTCAGAAGAAAAGGCACTGCAGTTCTCAGCGACGAAGCGCAGATCAATGCCTATGAGTGGCGATCAGTTGCGGTTGAAGCACTTCGACTTCCTTAGGTAAACCTGAGTGGTTAGTATATGCGCTGGGACAGTGTCTCCTGCGCTAGCCGTTACAGAAGATATCTGAGCGATGAACCCCACTGCAAAGACGCGATAAGGTATGATGCGATGCGATGCGACAAGGCAGGTAATGAATTCTAGATAGCGACACCGGATATCTCCGCGATAGGCACATTCGATAGTTGGTGTTGGAGCTAAGATGCGATCAGGTAACGCGCTGGAGATTAATATGGAACTGGGATCGAAACGCCTCCTTGAGCAATGCAGGAATCAGGAATGAGAAGACGAGAAAGCATGCGTCCCCTCACTTGTATCCAGGTCGAAGAGGCTGGGCCAATCAGCCTACCCCCTGCTGGTCATGTGCTGAGACTCGACGGTTTATACACATCAGATACCGGGAGAGGCACAGGGGTGGTACGAGTCCAGTACTTCGAGTTTATGTTGTCTAAACAGTGAACACCAAGGTACTCGTCAAGTACTCTTCAAGTATATCCGTGCCTGACCGCCCATGTTTGCCCAATCGATACGACCAGGGCCCCCAGCCAATCAGAAGTCAGACCTCCATGATCATCCGAAGAATCTCAAACACTAGGGATAGACCTGCATAACCCCGTTTGCAGTATGGAGTACGTTTGTTCTATTAACAGAATATCAAAATGAAGTGGAGCAGAGGAGCAGAGGAGAAGAGAAGATCAAATCTATTTTGACTCATGGAAATTGTAATAAAAATACAAGCCCGGTCCCTTGGGAGGCCCGGGAATCAGCCCATGGCGCCATAATCCCAGACTTCTATGGGGAGAAACAGAAAAAAAGCCGGGGAATAAAAAAGAACATCAGGTCGTTTATGCGGTGTTATCCTTGAGCCAGCTATGGGGTTGTCAGTGGGGTTCAGGGGAGTGTGGATATTCGCGGGTGACGTACGTGATGAGATCGTTGCGCTCCTTGGTCTTCTTGAGACCACCGAAGGCCATCTTGGTACCGGGGATGAACTTCTTGGGGTTCTCGAGGTAGGAGAACTAGGTATCGTTAGTCGCCGATCGGAGCTGAATTGAACGTGTGGCAGCTGGCACTTACCAGAGAGGTCTCGTTCCACTCAACACCGGCCTGCTTGTTGGCGTCGGTGTAGGCGTAACCCTCGGCTTGACCACTGTGACGGCCGAAAAGACCGTGGAGGTTGGGGCCGACCTTGTTGGCACCGCCGGCCTCGGTGGTGTGGCACTGGGCGCAACGGGTCTTAAAAAATATCTGTTAGGTTCTCTCTTCACTTTTGTCTGCGCGTGAAGCAATAATGGACTTACCTGGAAGAGCTTGGCACCCTTAGCGGCGTCACCTGGAGCGAAGTTGAGATTAGCGATTTTGTCGGCTTCCTTCTTGGCTTCTTCGACGAGAGCGGCCTTGGCACGCTCTGCCTCGCGTATGTCGATGATCGTCAAGGTGCAGAACACATCGAAGGTAGTCATGTTGAATAATTGAAGCGTGGTATTTGCGAAAGGTGGTAGCGATCGCAATTGAGGTAGTTAGGTTGACGAGGAGTTGCAATGTGAGGAAAGGTGAGGAAGTGTTGTTCAAGCACCATCTCAGGATAACAAAGCGCGTTGCCAATTGAGATACCCTTCACTTCCTTCCTTGAACCTCCATGGCGCCTCCCCGACCTCCTTTCAGCTCAATGGGGCAAAATAGGTAGCTTACCAGGGGCGAAAGATTCTTGCTTCTTAGGAGCCATTGTGAAGTATTATGAAAAAATAAAAAGAGAAGTTATTATGACACTGTACTGTACAGAAAAAACTAAGAAGGGGAGAGAAGAAAATCTGGTTATTTGTACTTGGGCCCCGACGCTTCCTCTCGTAATCCGCCATTCCGCCAATCAGAGGGGAGATGATTCAGGCGGACGGGCGCAACCGGAAACTTCGGTGTGGCTGTTGTGGCTCTGACATCTTTCACTCCCTTGTTTGTGCTTTCTCACTGAGACTTGGAGGTTCAATGCTTGGGACAGCTGGCGGTTTGTCTGTGGCAACAAACCGACTTGTATCCTCTATCTTCTATGTCCCGCCCCTATGATCTCATACCTCATCATCAGGTAGCTCCGATATGCATGTGTATATGCAAAGCTTCAGTTTGTTCAGAAACGGCAGCTCTTTCACCAATTCCTCTCACCTACAGAGTACCTAGACGCCCATGGCAATCCTGGCCCACATCTACGCATATTCACCCTTCACTCCTTCTGCTGGAGAACTGGAGCAACTTGCCCGATCCACTGCAGCTTCGAAATGGCATGATTCTCATTCGCCCGAGAGCTGGCCGGTGGTCCGGCGTGTGGATCCTGAGGCATAAACGGTTCATTCTCGATGCATTCTCGGCCGTGAATGCAATTTAACCTGTTGCCGAGGCCGCGGTAAGCTTGAACAATGACCTTGCAAGGTTCATTAGGTTGGTTTATGTAATCTGTAGTAGTCTCAGTCACGCCGACTATGTCGTACAGCTTAAAGCTATGTATTCCCAAACCATTGCAATTGTGGGAAACACGGGAAGTAATGGATACTACGCCACGCGAATATTTCGAAGTCAAGTGGTCTCATCAAAATTTGCATTCCCCGAAATTTCCATTCCCCGAAATAGTTAGAATATGCGGTCAGAACATCTCGACTCAATCGGCATCCGATATCCCGATATAGTCACGTGATATAAAACCTTCTCCAAAAATTGCATCTACGGTTCCGCATCTACATAAGTCAACAAGATCATCCAACCCCTCCACAGGAGCAAAAGGGCAAGAAAAAAATCCCGAAAATGCCAACCCCAATCCCCGGCTTTCTCCTCCCGCGAGGCCCACCCTCAGCGATGACCCTGCGCGCCCTCCAACGCCAAAACGCGCGACGCAGCTTCACCTCGACCGGCGCTGCGTTAAGGAAAGTCAGCAAGAGCAACACCAACACCAATGCCAATCCCAATTCCAAAGCTAGCGGCACTTCTAAGCCCCGCGTTCTCGCCAAGCCCGACAGATTCCGCCCGCCCTCGCACCCCCAGCGCCTAACGACTCCATCTCCGAAGAACGCACCCCCAGGCCAACTATTCGAGTATGGCCCGCGCACGACGGAGAAAGAGCGCATACAGCAGAGCAAGACGCAGTACCCGGGCATGTTCCCGCCGGAGGGGACAGTGATGTTTAAGTTCCTGACGAGCAAGTGGATCCACATTTGGATTGCGATGGTGAGTTTCCGACACCAAGCTCCGGGTCTAGCGAAACAAAGCTTCCAGGAGAACTCGGTAGATCAATTAACTAACCAACAACACAGAGCGTCCTGATCTCTTGCGCTGGGTTCACCTTTACAACTAATTTCAAAGCAACCTCGCCGTTCGCGCACCTGCTACCATCCTGGTCGAGTCTGCTGACGTCGCCTTTCAGCACGATCTCGCAGGCTTTCGCTGTGTGGCGCATGCATGTGCAGCACAATTCGATGCGCGTGCGGGAGCAGCGACACCGTCGCGTTGAGGATGCGGAGAAGAGGAAGGAGTATCGTGTTGCGCATGGGCTTGAGAAGGGGGAGCCTGAGAAGAAGGATGAGGGTGATAATGAGGTGGATTCGCAGTCGCCTGTTGCTGCTGGTGCTGTTGGTGAGGGTGCGGGGGCTGCGAAGGAGTTTGTTGATTGGGAGGGGAATAAGAGGCCCGTTAAGAAGTGGTTGGGAATTTGGTGATTGTTATTCCCTCCACGCCTTGGGGTGGGCTGTTTCATTCATATCTGCGGGTGATATAGCTATCTAGGTATGGCATATGCTACGTATGGTTTGGCTGCGGGTATGATCGATGCGGTCCTACATGAGGGAGCTTCAGACACCCCTCCAGCAGTGACGTTGGTGTAAATGGATGTTCAATCCATTTTGTACATTAGTGGACTTTCAGTCTACGATAGGAAGCCATCTCAACTTCAATCGATCTAACGATAAAGAGAAACGATTTAACCAAAAAACAACGCTTTTCTCCAAACTCCAGAAGTAGCGACCTATCAAATCAGGTATCAAAGTCGCAACTTTAAAGTAATGCTGTACTTTAGTACTCATACATATGAAATGGTTCAAATAAGACAATCATTGCACCACAACCCCCTCAAGTCCCTCAAGAACCTCCTCCCCAACACCGCCCTTACCGAGGACATTCTTAATCATACGTGCAATAACATTGCGCTTGACACCACCCCTTCGCGGACGCCAGACACCCTCAACCTCCTCCTGACCACCAGACTCCTCGCCAGGCCCCGCAGTAGCACCAAGCATATTCACATTCTCGGAATTGGGGATACCCGGCTGAGTGAGGCGGGAGGGGGATCGATCGAGCGGATCGATAGCAGTTTCAGAGTCTCGGAGTCACTGCTGCGCGTAACAGAGATAGCCAGGACAGCGTCTGCGACGGCGATTTCTTCGCGGTTAGGATCGAAGATGACGTTTTCACCGACGGAAATCACTAGCAGCGTTACAGGTGGGCGGACAGGGTATGATGGTGCGGCGGAGAGAGGAGATTTTGAAGTATTGGAGCGCGGGTAGAGATACTCCGCGGCGGCCCAGTCATCGTCGAAGAAAGGGTCTTCTTCACCCGTGGACTTGAGTTTCGGTAGCTTAGTGCTGAGGAGGGCGAGGTGGGTTGTGAGCGAGAGGAGGGGGAGAGGGTATGCGAGAGGTTGAGAGAGAAGCAGAACCTAGGGTATAGCATGTTAGCAGTGATCAAGTCATACTTCTCGAAACCCCAAAATAACCATAAACCGAAAGACAGAAAGCGATCGTCAAAACTTACATCAATATACAAGCGCCAATGCCACCGCTTGTTAATAACAAGTCTCGCCTTCAACCCACCGGCCATCTCCTTCGCATCCCCGCTCCCACCAGAAACAGAACCAACTAGACTCTCCCGCATCATCTCACTCAAAAACACAGGCAGGGCATCATCGTCCCTAAACCCGGGGATCTCAATCGACATCTGCACCCACTCTCCCTGTCCCGAGACAGCGGCCGAGCCCTCCTCGCCCTCGCGGTTCAGTGCGTCGCCATGCTGCGCCAGACTGCGCGAGTCGAGCGTGTCGGCTGCAATAACGGTCTTCTCGACTTCTGCTTTCACGCCGACGATCGCTTGTGTGCCGTCTGCGAATCCGATGCGCGCGCTACCGTTCGCGCCGGGCAGGATGGTCGTCTCGGCAGACAGAGGACGGAATTGTGTAGGTGAGCGACCGTCTGGTCGGATTGGGTTCTTGGGGAGGCTGAGGGAGGTGTAAAGGTAGGAGAGTTCGGCGGGTGAGAGGTGGGGCACTTGAGAGGCGGAGGATGCTTGTCTTTGACTTGACATTTTGGCGGGTGTGGTTGGTGTTGGAGGCGAGGGGATATAGATTGCTGTGTCTTGAAGGATAGAGCTGGAGTTCGGTTGCGCAAGGTTAAGCTCGTAGCTGTTGGCGGGCGGTTTAATTTTGTGGTGATCGGCCTGCGATTTGTGAAAAGTGCTTGCCGGGCGCGTGCTGGATGTGCTAAGGTGTTGGTAACCCGGATTCCAAGCTATGGCCAGTGTAGTTCCAACTGGCGAGGTTGAACGGGGGAGCAATTGAGGAGGGAAAAAAAAAACTTGGTAGAGTCTAGCAAGCAGTCTCAATCAGGAAATCTTGATGGGCAACGGATGATCGTTGTTCCGTTGATATTGATCCATGTAGATGCAGTGATTTTTCTACATTGACTACTCCGTAAGTAATTTCGTGATAGAATGGCCATCTTCTACTGTGTAATCTAGTGCTTCATAAATTGAGCCCAGTATTTTAGCCCAACAATCCCACCTTCCCACGCTGTCCATCATTTTCCATCGCCACTCCCCATGCAAACCAATTGATAGGACTTCTAAGGAAGCGTTACAGAAAACAGCAGGTATAAAGTCTCAAAATAACGTCTTGAGTGTGTAGATTCAATGCATATGTAGTAAGATATGTATGGGCATGGCACAACGGCCAAAGGGGGAGGTATATTACAAATATAGAACGGACTGGATCCAAGCCAGCACGCCGTGGGGAAAGAAAATGATACAAGAATTGAAGCAGGAGGGAGAGCTATGACAGGAATATGTAAATGGAGGGGATAAATAAGTGATAGAAAATGATGGACAAGAAGTAAAGATGGGGATGGCTGTAGCCAGACAATGTACAAGCGGGGAGAAGAGGGGGAAATTATATGGACAAAGGAGAGAGAGCGCAATATTCATCGAGAATGATTTGCAAATGTGCAGATCCGATATACATATCGGATGAAGAGAGAGGGTGAGGAATACCTAATAAGGTAGGAGGAAATGCGGTATATGATGCGACTTGCGCATGTGGTATCAAACGTCAAGGAAAGAACCCACGCCCCTGCTAAATGATGAAACGAAAGGACTCCATGAAAAGGAAAATGAAACGGCCCAAATCCATCTATAAAAGGGCTGCAGGGGTATGAATGTAGAGAAATGAAAAACTTGCCCAATGCCCATATGTGAAAAAAAAAAAAGATAAAACACCCTCCGAAATGGCCAGACCTTGCGAAGAAAATATAAAAACCCAAAATGCGCCTTGAGCTATGTAGCTTGCTCAGTGTTTGTTCTGTTTTGTAATTTTGCCAAATTTTTGTGCTCTTCGCAACTGAAAAGGCTGTGCTGTTGTTCAAATATAGTTGGATCCAGGAGCGAAGTAGTCGGATTTATTGTTGTGATACTCGGCCTCGTCGTAAGGGGGAGTGGGCCAGTGGCGGCTTGCGGCCATGGGATCAATCTTGTGGATGTTCAACTTGCTAGGTGTCGACTGTTGACCAAATGCAGCAGTTTCCTTGGCCGTGGGTGACGGTGTAGGATAAGGGTTCTGCTGTGCATGCGAGTTGTCTGGTTGCCGGCGAGCAGCACTGTGCGAGTCGGCAGCCATTGACTGAGTCTGGGCCAGGCGTCTAGCCGCCTTGCTGGCGGAGTGCAACACCTCATCAAGCAGCTCATCTTCCTCTTCAGGAGTCTCGTACCGATGAACCGGGTGGGTGGACATCTGCATGGCACGGCGAGTCCTGCTGGAGATAGGAGCAGGGTTGTTGCTGGTGACATGAGGCATTGACTGGCGCTTGGTTTGGCCGTCAGCAGAATTGTTCAAGTGCACTGGGACGTTGCTCAGTGTGGATGAGTCCAATGAGTACTTGACGCATTGAAGAGCCTTGTCCAGCTCGTTCAAGTCGGAGCCTTGCTTTGGATCACTAGTAGGCCCATCTAGAGCCACTGATGAACGGTTCGACCAAGGGATGCAACCTGCGTTAGCCTCGACGTCATCATTGGGCGCTGATTGGTTTCGTCCAGACAATCTGCGGGCGCGTTTGCGCAGATGCGAGAAGAAACTCTCCTTTGTGGTTGGTGTGCTAGTCCCGGAACCATTGAGCCTCCTTTCGGCCTCTAGACGATTCTGGTCGTAGTGATTCCCATGGGAGTTGAGGGACAATTGACGGCCGATCTTTGAGCTAGCTGATGTACTGGAGGACTTGGAAGACTGGCTGTGCGCCAAAGTGGCGTTCGCCTGGGCTGTAACGGAGTTGGAGAGAGGGGAGACAGGGCGGATAGAAGGAAGGATTGGCATCGGTGCACCGTTTGCCCAGGTAGCTCGCTTGATGTTCGGCGGGCGCGCCTTGACAGGCTGGATCTCAGGTACGGTGACCTGAGTCACAGCTGATGGCCGGGCAGGGCTTTCTTCTGCAGAAGGTACAGGGCTGTCTGACCGAACGACCAATGATCTCCGGAACCACGAAGGCTTAGAAGACAATGTAGGAGAGTCACCTGGGGTAAGATTTGGTGACCTGAAGCTCTTCTCGGACTGCTTGCGGCCTAGTAGTCTCGACGAGGTGGAGGACTTCGGCCGCACCGGATCAACCGCATCGGCGAAGTACTCGTGGTTAAGCGCTTGGGTAGACGTTGGGCGGTTCTTAGGATCCCACATGAGACACCACGTGACGAACTCGCTAAATGCCGCAGGCCACATTGGGGGCTGAAGCACGGATTCCATCGCGTGTGGTGCCATCTTGGGGAATGTGAAACCGAGCTTGTGAGCCAGGCGTGATCCTTCACGCCATTCACCACCGCCGATTTTGGCGCCCGATTTGCTGTACCAGTTTCCCGGGCTACCCATGATCTCACACACACGCCAAACTTGATCGACCTCGTTACCTCCCGGGAATAGAGGCTTTAACGTAGCAATCTCGACTGCCATGGCGCCCATTGCCCACATATCGACTGGTGCCGAATACTCTCCTGCTCGTAGAAGCACCTCGGGTGCGCGGTACCAGCGTGTGGAGACGTATGTGGTGTATGGTTGTTTGGAGTGAGTCTCACGAGCAAGACCAAAGTCGGCGATCTTCACCGTGTAGACAGGAGGGGTGGAGGGAGGGGTTACGAGGTTAGAGTAGCGGCTGAAAGCGGAATCATTGGGGGCGGAGGTTGAGACGAGAATGTTCTCGGGCTTGATATCGCGGTGGAAGAAGTGGTGTGCGTGAATGTGGTCCAGACCGGACAAGATCTGATAAAGGATGCTCTTGACGTGCTTGCCTTCAAAGTATTTATGGTCACGAGCCTTCATCAACTGATATAAGTTGCCATCCATGTATTCCATGCAGATGTGAAGCTTGTGGGAGTGGGGGTCGAGGAAGATGTCGAGGGCAGGGACGAGGTGGGGGTGAATGGGTAATGTTCGGAGGAAGATGACCTCTCGCAGGTCTAGACATGGACCCAAGGAGTCAAATGTCTTCTTCATTGTTTTGATTGCGACCTAACCAATGAGTCAGTGAAGCCCAATACACCACCAATCTTGCTATTCCATACCATAGTGCCTCTGCGAGCGATATGGGCACCGGCGGTCCGTACGCGCGCGACTGCCACGCTACCGAAACTTCCATCACCAATCTCCTTGATGACTTCGAAGCGGTCCTCGAGGCTTGCCATAGAGGTATGTGACCCCCGGGTGGGCATATCATATGTGATGGTCATGTTGATGTTGTCTCTTCAGGTCTGCCAGCAGATCGAGAGAAGAGGAATGCGGAGGAGGGGTTCTAGAGGGGTGTTCAGGTCAGCTTCCCGACATGCTTGCAAGGATCCGGCGTTCTTACAATTATGTAGAGGGGAAAGTTTCGTAGTATCCCCGAGTGAATGTGTATGTATGTATATGGATATCAATTGCAGCAAATGATCATGTTCTGAGAATTAGTTCGAGCCGGACGGTTGGGTTTCCATTGACGGAAAAGTAAGGAGTGACAAGGTAATTGGAGGGGGAGTGACGGTGGTCATGTAGTGGGCGATCTGGAAGGATTGAGGACCGGGCACGATGCAATAAAAAGGAAAATCCAGAATAGGAGGAGACCCGTTCCTGGTGGAAACTGGAGGGATCGAAGGACCGAGGGTGAGCCCCTGACGCGGTGACAGCTCGAGCTCCTAGACGGGGCCGTGGAGACGGTAAATTAACGACTCTAGGTCGTTGCAGATCAGTCCACCGTGGCGAAAACGGGATTTGAATACGGAATCTCTTGGACTGGAGTAAAGATGAGAGCGTAGAGATTAGAACATCCGAGTATAAGAGGAATAAGAATAAAGAGATGAAGAAGTAGGAGAATAAAAGAGGCATTGTACACATCCAGGCGCATATAGAGGGAATAATCAATATCCTCAATACGGAATTACGAATACCGCAGTACCGGAAGTATAAAAGAAAAAGAAAAAATCGACGAATTTACCAAAATAAACCAAACAGAAAAATCAGAAAAATCGGGAAATTCCCAAGAAAAAACCCAGGAAAACAGCTAAAACCCCAAATAACCGGTTGATCCCGTCTCAACCAATGGGACGCTCTTTGTGGAACCGGGTACCTTATTTCAATTTTACCGTACGCAAGCTCAAACATGAACATGGACACTTTGGGAAAAAAAAAAAGGAAAGAAAGAGATGAGAAGTATCAATTAATGATTATATTCAATTATCGCTGTCATATTTACATACGTTGTACTCGAGGTCCATGTTGTGTTGTATACAAACTCTATATGCCTATAACATCTACGTTGTTCGATTTATCATCTGACCGCTGTGAACGCACGGCGCCTAATAATTTAGGAGGTTGGGCATAAATAATTGTGTGCAGCCTGTAGCCGTTGCCCACGCTCTAGATGGTCCTGCACTGTTTGGGATATGTCAGCAGTTGGGCCGCGTTGGTAATTTATTTGACTCGAGCGTTAGAATTGGCTGCCTTGAACTATCACAAGGCCAAATACTCTAATCTCTCCAGATACAAAGACATATGATCTTGACTTTGATACAAAAGTACTATATACACACTGATCACCTCGGTTACCCCGTCTTTATACAAGTCATTTCTAGCGGAGATCTACTTAGGCTCTCGGTTGATGTACCAGATGTACGATGTAGATGCACGATGTACGATGTAAGATGTAAGATGTACAGGCACAGCTCGCAGACTGGGAGAGAAAAGCAAGGAGAATCTCTTCCCTCATCTCATGTTCTATTATGTCATGTCCTACCTTCGGACTTATACTCTCCGCCAGTCTCATTCTCGCACGGATAGTAGAACACCGGTCTGGTTATTCGCCTTCTAACAGATCATCCCTGTCTTAATGCCTCACCTAGAGTAATTCGTGCTGGCTTCTTTAACGTTGATTGACGGACATCCTGTGCCTCATTTTATTTCTACCACCTGATGTCCGATCTCCTGATGTATCGGAACACTGGAGAGAGATATATGGCTATCTCTTTTCCGACTGATCCTTCGACGGGTAGGGCCAATCACATACTGGGGTAAGATGCTGCCATGTGGAAGATAATTAGTAAATTAGGTTCGCGGGTGGACGGAAAGGTTCGCGGCATAGAAAAGCAGGTCGACTTAAGCCGCGATGAGCTAAGAGTCGCATATGATGGGTTCTTTTTTCTCTTTGTCCAAAGGTACATGGTCTGGGCCCTGAATGCCTGGGGGGTCATTGACGGGTTTCTCCAAGCCGTCTCCGATTGGGACGTAGGACTTGCTTGTCGATTCGGGTTCTTTGTTGAAATCCCGTCTCAAAGACTCGGATGTTAGTGTCTCTGTTGCCATGGATGCCGGATCCGTGTTGACGTATTACAAAATTTTCCAAAATTTTAGGGTCTAGGACATCTTACCTGTATATGTATGGTCTGAAAAAACTCCAATCAAGTTATGACATGAAAATCAGAGACCAAGCCCATTATAGCCACTTTGCCGGATGTCTCTAACCGCGTCACTCCGGCTTCTCCACTGACTTCAAAGCTAAGGGATGCTTGTGGTCACGATAACACCGACTTTTTGACACTCTCCCACAGTGGAGTACAGAGTACAGAGTATGGAGTGAACAGATGTAATTACCTGCAGGAAGCGGGATGGAATGCACCTGCTGAACCCTGGGGCAACCGTTGTGGCTAAGGATCCCTATTTTATTTGGACTCAGGCGGAGTTGAATTGAAAGAGCACTCGACCTCTATTTCAACGCATCAACTGGGATCCACTGTTTCAATGTTCGGTGTTTGCCCCTAATCCGATCGCTGCATGGGATTTCAGGAACAAACCTTGGGAAGTACATAAAGTACATAAGAAACACATCTCCAAGGGCCGTACCGAAACGAAACCAAGGTTCGAAGAGAGTGGGCCACTTCACTTTTCGCTTTTTCATATTATTTTCTCTTGACCGCACAATTTGATTACTAGGACAACAAGCTGCGACGTGGAGTACACACCGTGTACAATATACGATATGAATTGTACACGGAATACCGACAACATTCACAGCGCATGTTCCACTCTCTCCCACTTTCTCCCACCTTCGAGTCTATGATTCGCTCGGTGGCGCTCTCAACTCCATGCGCACCAACCATAAACCAATCACCACGGACCAAAGATCAGTAGTCCGATGGAGTATATACGCCAACAATGCCATTGGTCCCAGCAGCAAAGACAGCCCACTTGGTCCATTTATCGTACCTATGACGACGCCTTCTTATCCCTCACAATTGCCTAGTCACGCACTGTTGATTCGGGGAACTGCGGAATGCTCCACCGTGGGCCTTCATCTATGGAGTAGGCCAGTCCCAACTACCCGCGGAGACCGCGATAGGGGGAAGGATCCCAGTGTCGCCACCTGGGAAAGCAAACTAGCATTTGCTTCCCAATCTGCCGGGAGGCGCCGTGGTGTTCTTTTGGCCTTCGAGAAGGCAGTTCCTGGGACCGATATCCGGATTTATTGCGCAACGGTCTCCGAATGGTTATCTTGCCTCTAAATGGGGTGACTATTACTTAGACCTTGGACTTTTAAAGCGAAAGCTTGTCGGGAGCAAATCCGCAGCCAATCTCTGGCCTCGTTGCCCCCCTAACAGCCAACCCCCCCTTATCTAGGGACTAGGTAAACAAGCTGGCCAACGAACACACGATCAAACGGATATGCGTCCCGAACTTCCCAGGGAACTGCATAGCGACCGTTGGGAAGTTACCAATTTCGAGGATTAGCACACTACCTTCGACACTAAACCTCCTCGGCCCACTTCAAACGCCGAAAGTCTGTGTTGGATTTCCAGAATCCGTGGAAGCCGCGGGAAGGACACCCCTTGATCGCTGGAACTGTCAGATCGGAGTCCAGCAGATTATCCGTCCCAGCTGCACACGAGGGCACTAAATTAGCTTGAATTGGCCCTCGGTGCTGCGTAGCTGAGTTGTTTTCATTAGAGTGGACCCACAGTCACTCCAGTAACCTTAGATTTATATGAAGCTTTTTTGCTTTGGGAAGGTGTGGACAACATACACATACACCGACAGACAGCGCGGAGACTTTCACTCAGCCAACTCGCACTAGCCCTCAATGGTACCTATCGTCTCCGTGCACAGTGGCAGTGCCACTTACTGCATGTCATTCATTCATTTTCTTCGCATTCAAATCTGATTCTCGGTATATTTAGATCGCCAGCTAAGCCGTGATGTCTTGCGCCGCAGTAATCTATCTAATTGCGAAGTGATAGATGCCCCTCCCTCCGTTTCCTACCATGTCGTGCTGCCCAAACTGGGTCTTTATGTGTGTCATACCTGACTAGCTTATTTCATTTCTCTGGGGACTAATGTGCGTGGTCCGGCTGGCTTTGAAACTACTCCGTAGCCCCTATATTAAGTTGTATGCAAAGGCAATCAATTATGCTCCTTTGGGGGCCTTTGCTCCGCTTCTTCTATGGTTTTCTAGAAATCAAATAATCTGCTCTCAGCTGCACCCGGTGCCTTGGAGTGAGCTGAGAATGCTGTCTATAGTTAGTATGTACTCCATTTTGAGGCGTCGTAAGAGGTTTCTTATTGCTCTGCTAAGTTAATAATGTCTACACCGTAAGATGGCTACGAGATGGCTAATTATGCCATATGTTTGTTTTCAAAAAATAATACCACAATCTTTAAAGAGCAAGTCTCTTATGCGGCCTTGGTAATCCATACTCTGTGGTGTTTTTAGATGTATCCCACCCTCTCCCCACGCCCCCTTTATTGGTATAAGAATTGGTCGCAAATTATAAATAATGTAAATAGTGTAACTAAAAAGCGGTGCCTTAGATAGAAGTGAGAATATTGTCTGATTCAATGTCACTCCTTTTTGAACGTTTGCTTTCTTACTATCTCTATTGTCGTGCTAGGCAATCGACTTGATATCTAAGCTGGCCCTGATATACTGTATGTTTGCTTTCTATAACACAATGCGCTTATATCGTTTGATCGATCACAGCTCTAATTTGCAGCAACTGCATGGTATCTATATACTTCGCTATTATATATCTACTTCAGACACCCTCAATTGGCCCTCTTCTCTTAGTATCATTTCAACCTTCATGCCTTTAGCCCTTGTTAGGAAGAGCTCTAAAGCCAAAATAACAAGCAAGACAATGTTTATGATGGAAACGCAAATTCGAGATGATTGAATTGGCCAGCACGAAATCCTCACTTTCGGAAAGAACAACCTGCGCAGCGCGCGCATTGCGTCTGCCCCGCCAATATAAATTGGGTATTGTCTTCTCTCTAGTTTTTTCTTCCTCGCTCACCTTCACTGCACTCACTCTGGGTTCTACCCCGCGACTTTTGCAAGTTTTTACCGGAGTGTATTGCCTTTCCAAGATACTACCATTTCACCATGCCTCCGCGACGGAAACGGCTCCCTGCGAGTCCATTTGCACGGGGATACACACCCCAAATGAGAGCGGCGTCAGTTAACCCTATCTCACTTTAGGAAGCAAGATAGTCGCTAACAAAATATCGATAGCGTGGACCGAATTCCAATCCCAAACGAGTCAGTATTTTCATCAGTCTTGGCCTTCAACTGCTCACCGTCACAGAATTAAATGTTGCGTCTGCAAGCGGCATCGCCCACAGTCCCAGTACTCGAAAAACCAACTGGGCTACCTCCGCCGGGCAATGTTCGATCTTGGCTACAATAGCGTCTATGACCAGCAGGTTGCTAAGTGTGGCCCATGCACGAATGCCCAGGTTTGTGAGGAGCTCTGTCATCGTTGCGGTCACTACCGTGCCATTGACCAATTCGCCAGAAACCAACGCAATCGCGACAGTCCGGTATGTTTGTCTTGAGATACCCACTTTGGCTGCTTCTAATACTTGGTCGATCTAATAGATCTGCCAGCCCTGCATGAACTACCAGATGTCCCTCGATCCTGCCGATCAACCTCTGGCGATCACGGACAAGGCTGTGGTTGAGGATCAGGTAGAGGAGGATGATGAGGATGAGGAAGAGGAGCTCAACTCTGATTCTGTGGCTCTGTCTGGATCCGTCGGACAGCCCGAGTCTGTCGATATCTTTGGCTCTACTGGTCAGCCCGTAAGTTATCAAAACGACATCAGCTCTGGTCAAGTCTTGGTTTACTCATATACTTTTACTGCAGGAGAGTTTGGAGCAGGGCATCGAGACAGCCCTCGTCCTGCACGATGATTCCACTGATAGTGATGGCAATGAGAGCCGGAACGGATTTGCAAGAGTCAAGGTGGGTGCCTTTATTTAATAGAACTTATATCGCTCCGGATGGACTTCTAACAAAACTTTATTGTATAGGCGCACCGTCCTCGTCAGGCACCTGTCCCTGAGCCCGAGCCCGCCCCAGGCTGGGCATCCGGTACTCGCAAGATCAATGATGGCACTCCTTGGAAAGGAGGAAGGTATCTCTAATGGTTTCCAACACCGTGCCACGAACAACCCTCAGGTTATGATTGACGATACTTCTATTATGGGCACCTTGGCTGCTAGGCTGCGCCTAGTGTTGCAGTTTACGGCATGCTCTTCTTCTTCTTCTTCCTTCTTCTTCTTCTTCCTTCTTCTTCTTCTTCTACCTCTGTAGTACTCCTAGTTTTTCACTTGCTTTTGCTTACAGACGGTTCGACTTCTGAGTCTGCCCATGATGTCTCCTATGCATCCAGACGCTCTTTTTTTGTTCTTTCCTGCGGGAAGGCGAGGTTCTAGTATTCCAGCCCTGTGCCTGATGCATGTCTCGCGGGCAAATTTCCATATTCTGATTGATGGGGCTTTTACTACAGGGTGGGGTGGACTCCTAAGTCCGCGCCTGATATAACCTTGTCCAATGGGTTTTCTCGCTTTCTTTTCTGGGGTCCTAGGGTTGATATGTTTTATGAAGACCCATTAGATTTAATATTTCCAAGTTTTGCCTTTTGAGCTCCCATGGGTCGGTAGACAATAGTGCCATGGTTATGACATCGGTGGTTCCGTTGACTCCACCTACTATAAATATTGAAATCAGCAGCTTAGCTTGTCGGTCGAGATGTTGTATGATAAACGATATTCAGGCAAGTCCCAGCTATTTCTGGTGATTGAGAACTGGAAGGCAGTGGCTAATAATACTCTGTTCTGTCGATCGGTGTCCCAGCCGTCGGATCCGGGCCGACATTTGGCAATGACATAGCCCTATCTCTGAAATAGTGCCCTTCACAGCTCTGATAGGCGCAAGGGAAACTATAATGTACACATCGCATGGAAGATGCATGTAAAGTCTGCAGCGGTTGCTGTGCATTGCCAGATACATGCTCTGTTAGTCTGCCGATCGTGTGACTCTGACCCAGTCTAGCAATATGAAAGAGCATATGTGGGACTTCAATATAGCAAAGGGCCAATATAACAAAGAGCGACCGCGTGATGTGACGTCGAGACAGTACAAAGAGAATGAATCTTAAATCCGTCTCACTCGTAGTGACGATATGATCGCCACAACGTTTCACTCGCCCCCCACTAGCCCCTCCACCGTAATTTCTAGCAATTCGTAATCTGTGTGCGCTTCTTCTTTCTAGTTATTCCCTTCAAGTCGGTTATATTTTGCAAGGAAAAACTAAACGTCTTTGCTAAAGAGAATACCCCGGCTACATCTAAACCCTCAAACCCCCTGTATGGCCTCCAATGGAAATTACACGAGCAATACAGACCAAACGGGCAAAATGAACCCAGACTCAAACGAGCATGGGTACTTGCCCGCACGTCCACTGCCATCCTATTATACACCATCTCCTCAGAACATGCCGCAGCCACAGATGCCGCCGACTGGTTCATCGGCCCCAAATCCAACCCCGGAGCCATACAACCATCTGGAATCCCAGCGCTCCTCTCCAAACATGCACACTGGTCACATAGACAATGCAGTGAGCTCTGCATTTCAAAGTAGCGGCTCCACAGGCTACCTCTCCCCAGAAATTATATCGCAGATCACAGCAACAGTGATCCAGCAGCTTAAGACAAATGGGTTGGACAAGCTACAAGGGTCCGGTGCGCCCCCGCCCCGCTCGCAATCACAGCAGCCGCCATGGCAAACAGATGGCTCGTTGCAGCCGCATACGGAGTCTCCCCCTGCCATACCTCCACAGCGAAGCAGTTCGATTCCCCCGCCCAGTTCGGCCTCTGAAAAGTTCCATACTGGGAATTCGGAGCCATACGTCCCCTCTGGTTACGCTAGTGACAGTCATCTCAGCCAGAAACCTGCTCCTGATCCCCATCCATACGTCCCTTCTGGTTATGCTAGTGATAGTCATCTCAGCCCGAAACCTACTCCCGATCCCCAGCCATCCGTCTCCTCTGGTTACTCCAGTGATAGTCGTCTCAGCCGGAACTCTACTCTCGATCACCTGTCGGATAGACGTGCCTCTGTCTCCAGTCAGACTAGTGATCGGAGTCATCCTAGTTACTATAAGGCGGAACGTCCGAGACCTCCGGATCGGGACGCTACCGTTATGGAGATGACTACTTTGGAGCGAATTTGGGGGAAGTTGTTCGATGATGGCAAGGCGACGAAGAGGCTTGGCCAATTCTTACGTGGAATTGCGGTTCATATGGTAAGATTTTTGTCTACTCTGACCTACTACGGATTATAATGGCTAACTTGAGTAGATTGAGGATTATCCGCCGGGAAACACCCTTGTCATTCCCCCTTATAAGTTGCAAAAGTTCTATCGTGACACTCATGATTCGAATGACCCTTATCCATGGCAAGGTTGGTAATTCGATCTGTTCATTGACATGACATATTCTGACTTAATATTTAGACATTTTTGATGATCGTACATCTTCGATCTCCCGACTATTCCGCGACATCAGAGTCGAACATCATCTCATCCAGGACGATCTAGCAAAACGCCCAGATATCCCAGGCTTAACACCCAAAGGCTTCGAGACCTGGGAAACCTTGATGATCCTCGCGAACCCAGAGCGCGAATACGAGCGACTGCAAAAAGCAGTCCGCAACATGCCTATCAACAACCCAGAGGACCAGAAAGAGCGCTTCCCAAAGGAAATCCCGCGCCGGCTCTTCCCAGAAATCGGAGATATCGAAATCAGAGAAGACGTCGAGGACCGAATCATGGTCCATTGCGGCGTCGATCTACCATACATCACCCCCGAAGAACGCAACCAGACTTCTGGCCGGTCGGCCAGATCATCCACCACGACCGCATCACCCGGAGAGCGAACCCGCTCATACGAGCGAGGCCGACCCCCAACCGCCTCGGTCCCAAGACCCGCCTCAGCCGTGACAGACGATGAAGACGAAGAAGATGAAGAAGAAGACGACGAGGTAGACGAAGGAGACGAAACCATCACCTCGGTCCCGATCGAGCGCGAACGCAATCCCTACAGTAACAGTCCAAGCATTGGCAAAGTCTACGATGAACCCAGTCATAGCCATAGCCACAGCCACAGCCACACGGGACCGACACCGGGACAAGCTCCAGCATACCGCATGCCCGAGTCCTACGACCGCGAGTCGCAATACGCACGCTCGGGATCTGGACATTCCTCTGAGAAGCGGTTCTCGCATGATCCCCGCAGCTCGTCGCATCATCGCGGAGGTAGTGGTACCTACAGGCACTCGGATAGTGAATTGCATGGTCGGGACCATTCGGCTAGACATTCAGGGCTTTCGGCGCATGATCTGTCGTATAACGAGCCTGCTGCGAATTTGACTGAGGATGAGACGCGCAGATATCGCCCTAGTCGGGCTAGCGACGAGGAGTATTATCGTGGGAGTGGGCAGGGAGGAGCTGTACCCCGGTATGATCAGAAGTATGAAAAGTATTACGGATGAAGTGGATTTGGATTGATTTGTTTTAGTGTTTTGGGTTGCTTCCTTTTGGCGATTATTGCATTGCAGTCAGTGTCATTTTCCTGTTCTTCTGCCTCTCATCTCAACTTTGGTCTTAATTTTGATTCTTTTCAAGCTGGGCGTGGCATGGATCCGAAGATATCCCTTTTTCTGGGGTTGTGCACGATTAACGATATCATATTTCACGACGTTTTGCTCTTTCGAAATACACGTGAGTTTGTAATTTTATCAATAGCATCGAGAATGAAAAAGTGCAGCGCATACTCAAGTTGTATTTCGTCTCACTTCGACCTCTCAAACCCAAACTTCCTCATAACCCTCTCCCCATCCTCTCTAATCTTTTTGAGCTCCCTCTCCCTCTCCCTCTCCTCCTTCTCATACTGGAGGGCAATAGCCCTGGCATGTCTCTCCTCACGCTCAACCCTTTTCCTCGCAACTCTCTCCGCGCGCCTCTTATGTTCCAACGCCCGCTCATCACATCTCTCAGCATCATCGCGCAGCGTTTCGATCTCCTCATCGGTCAACACCCATGGCACAGACAAGACTTCAATAAGGAACCGCAGGCGGGTATCCAGGAACTGCATTTCGGCGTTCGTATCGCGCACGAGCCAGAACCGCTCGAGATGTAACTGCATCTGCGAGCGGAAAGTTGACAGCGTCCCCTTTACCCGGACTAGCGTTCCTGGTTGGAGAGCTGAGATGTCTATCTCGTTGTGGTCTTTGGAGGTTACATGTGTTGTTTGGGTGAGGCTAGTGGCTGTTGGCGCCGTGAGGGAGAATGAGGACCATGCTGGTTTTCCTGGGTCTGTGGCTGGAGTTGCCCGGCTAGTGGTGCTGGGATTTGGTGAGGTCTGTTTTAGTACGGCTATTTCGATTGTTGCACCACTGCTGTCGTCTAGTATTAGGATTGTGCGTCGTGGGACATCAGTTCGCGCCACTATGATGCCCATTAGGCTAACGAATTGGATTGGATGATTGTTGTAGAAGAAGATGTTTTGGCCTGTGGGCTTTGTCAGTTATGAGGCTTTTTATGTAGAGATAGGCTTGGTTGTGTTTTGGTCGGATGGGACATTAGGTAAAAAAGAAGGCATATTTCTGGGATGCCCGACAGAGTATTGAAACAAGTATAGAGTTCGGGTATATTGAAACCGAAGTCTAAACAGCCTGGTGGATGTATCGAATGAACTTATTACGCTAATGCCGCCTCATTATCGAGCCTCCGCGCTAGAGGACCCGGAAATATGCACATGAGCACTAGGCGTGTCGATCTCCAGGGGGCAAGCTCAAAAAAAAGAAATAACATACCCACGAAGTCACTCGATTTTCGGAGACGATGCACATCGGCCGCACCCATTTTCACCCAGGTAAAGTGCGTGGGTGACGCCTTGAAGCAGAACGCGGGGTAGAATACGAGGTTCTCATGGTTGACTATTGTCATTGGTTCATCTTTTTTCTCGAAGTATGTGGAATCAGGACTTATAAATCTCAACTTGGGAATGTCGATTTAGGAATCAGGAATAGGCATCCGAGCATGAGTTACCGCTCTTGCCGCGATACCTGATTCTGCCTACCACTTCCCACACCGCCCTAGTGTCGAACTCCCTTAATAGTAGCAAGGCAGACCTATGTCATTGTCCAAGAAGACCTCCAACCAACCTATAAGGCACTATATAATTGCTGGTTTCTATCATACCACAATCTCTATAGATAGATATGCTTATCCCCCTCCATCATCCTCTTCAGCGGATTCCTCGGCAGCGCCTCCTGCCTTTTCCTCTCCTCAGCACTAATATCATCAACATTAGTCTCCTTCTCCCCCAATGCAGCCCTAACCTCCTCCCGTGCATTGTCATGCCCCGCAAAAGCAACAGTTAAAATCTCTTTCTCCAACCCACCAACATGCTCCCACTCAATGCCCGCTTGAGTCAACATTTGACACCCCTCAGACTCTCCAACAAACGTGCCAGGCTCCTTAACCCCAAAGTAAACCTTATGGACCCCCTCCCGCCCGCCTTCCCTCGTCTGCGTGATACGCTGCACACACGGTGCATTCCCAGACAGGCGCTTCCCGCACGGCTCCATAGTCACGTACATGACGAGCTTGCGGCCGGGCTCGACGGGGAGGACTTCGCCGACTTTGTCGTCGGCGACTTTGTGCACTGCGGCATAGTTGGCGAAGCAGCATTGCTCTGCATGTGTATTGCCTGCGAGCTCCATTGTGTACCCCGTCGAGAGGATCCGGTCGTCTGTGAAGGTGGGGTCGTCGTCTTTGCGGGATAGTAGAACTGCGCCGACTCGGAAGTTGGTGGGTCTTGGGGGGATTTTTCAGCTAGGGAGAGGCATTCTTTTATGTAGGGTATGTGAGGGGAGGTGTTTGTCGTCATGGTGAGAGATGCCAATTGCGATTAGGCTGGGTGTTCGGTGTATGAGGGGATCAAGTTGTGGTTTAGATGTAGAGTAGGGATTTTGAATTGGATTCGGATGGTCTCTGTAGCTCTTGAAATTCGAAGAGAGTGAAGTAGAGAGTGAAGTGGCGCTGTCGATGAGCTTGGGGTGCTTGAAAGTGGATAGGCAAGGCGGGGAGCAGCAGCAAAATGACGAAATGGCCGTCGCGTCTAAATCGCGTTCCATTTCTACGACCTTAGTGCAGTCGCCACTTCTATCATCAATTAGATCCCAGTTCAGTGTAATATACCTAGGTATCTAAATCGCACTCAGTTCTTCCCTCTAGTGTTCAAGCGCCCAAAAAGCCTGTCGCGTCACCAAAACTTGCAATGGCGAAAAACACGAAAAACGAAAACCATGCCTCAGACGAAGAAATGCCGTCTGTCGAGGAGGACCTCTATAAAATCCTAGGCATTACATCCGATGCAACCCCAGAAGCCATCAAGACAGCATACAAAAAGAACGCTTTGAGACATCATCCCGGTATGCAAACCCACGCAGGTTCGAAAACATGCAGCATACTAATCTCAGAGCAGACAAGGTGAGCGAAGAAGCCCGTGCAGACGCCAATGCGAAGTTCCAAAGAATTGCACTGGCATACGGAGTACTTTCCGATGCGCGCCGACGAGATGTGTACGACCGGACCGGCAACACGGACGAAGCCTTTAGCGAAGATGGCGACTTCAACTGGATGGACTTCTACCGCGAACAGCTCTCAGCGATGCTCGACTCGCGGGCGATATCGGACTTCCAGAAGAAATACCAAAACTCGGAGGAGGAAAGAAAGGACCTGCTCGCCGCGTATGAGACGCACAAAGGCAATATGGATGCCATCTACGATACCGTGATGCTGTCCAATGTACTAGACGATGATGAACGGTTCCGGGGTATTATTGACCAGGCCATTGCGGATGAGGAAGTAGAGGACTTCGCGCGATATTCCAAGGAGCCCGAGAAGAAGAAACAGCAGCGTGTGAAGAAGGCGCAGAAGGAGGCGCAGGAGGCAGAGAAGTTGGGGAAGGAGATTGAGGATAAGAAGAAGAAGAAAGCTGGGGCTGCGGGAAAGAGCTCGAAGGCTGCGGCGAATGAGGATGATCTTCTGGCAATTATCACTAAGCGCCAGCAGGATCGTGGTGCGGGCTTCCTCGCTCGTTTGGAGGAGAAGTATGCGCAGCCTGGGAAGAAGCGTGGTATCGATGATGAGCCTTCCGAGGAAGCATTTGCTGCTGTTGGGGCTCGAAAGGGGACAAAGCCCAAGGCGAAGAGGACCAAGGCTTGAATTAGGGTCTTTGTTTCCTGCATTCATGTGTCATGTCTGAGCGTTTAACTGTTGTATAACTAGGTCTAATCGGTGTTTGTAATTGCATACCATTATATCCTTTCCTTATTCTAGCTATGATACTGACCTGCGAAAGATAAGTACGAAATATATTCCAAAAAACATTTGTAGAAGGTGTCTGCACGCAGCCACCGCGGCTGCAGTAAGTAGCCTCATCTTCCAAGGTTGGGCTCCTTCTCCCAATCTTTCCTCTTAGGCCTCTTCTTTATGTTCTTTTTCTTTCAACTTCAATAACAGATTGTGCACAACCATATCCAGTCCGTAACTAAGGGAGGTCGACTTGATTGACTTTTCTGGCCATTTGAGCTGTCAAGCTGTCCAGCTATTTTCTTGAATTCTTCCTACTCATGCATCACAACCAAACCTGACATACATTCCTATCACCGTCATAAAACAAGGCGACCTGCTCCACATTCCTCATTGCTTGGCGGAGTTGATTGCTGAGTTTCCCCACAGCCCGGAGGCGGTGCCGCCATGTCGCACCACGCTGGTCGAACTTCTCCCACTGAACAACTGAAAAGTTTGGATGGTCGATCTACAATATCAACGACCTCAATTAAGGAGAAACCACCCGGCCTGAACCGTGCCTTGCAGAACCTGCTGATTGCCCCGCAGTCCAAGAGTGCGGGCGGGACAACCTATTCGCCCAGAGCAGGCGGAACCCGCAGTCCAGTTGAGCCACTGGTATCATCGCCTTTGCGCATCAGTTATTCAGATATGGCATCCGCTCCAAGTTCGCCGGAGAGGCATGCCGCAGCTCGCGAGGTTTTCCCTCGTAGATCATCCGACCAGGTTGTTGACACTGTCCGCTCAACTACGGGTCGCCTTAGTACCGATGATGATGATGCGAAATCTGATATCACTACTACTTCCCTAGAGCAGCCACACGCCAAAAAGCGATTTTTGCAGGCTCGAGATAGGTCCCAAGGCCGCAAGGGTGTGGCTGCCATAATGTCTGGCCGTCTCTTCCCGAGAAGCTTTTCCCGCGGCAGAGACAGAGCCTCATCACAAGGACCTTCCCAGCGTGGAGCGTCTCTTGACTCCCGTTCTGCTTCTTCGCCGGAGCGGGGTCGCCCCAGTCTCCCTGGTAGCCATTCTGTTCACGTTGAAACCTTAACTCCCACCTCTGTTGGTTCAGGGAAGGGGAAATCACTGAACATGCACGATGCATTCAACAAGTCAGACGAAGCATTGGCTAGACCCCATGGAAGTGGAAGCCTCCCTGATTATATCAAACCAGCTGTGGAGGAGGGAGGGGAGCGAATAGCCAAGGATGTTTTCGATCGTGACAAGAACATGATTGAAAGCAGTGAAGATGAAGCCAACGACACTTCGAGCGATGAAGACAGCACTCTGGAGGGTGTACGAGGCCGCAAGAAAAAGAAGGACTCGGATATCACATCCATAACACCAAGCGACTTTGAGAAACCCAAGAGTGACGATTCCAAGCAGTCCGAAGAACGTACGTTGCCTTCTCAGGACTTCTGTTAAATATGAAATTCATTGTACTAACCTCATATTGTATAGGGAAAGTTTCCGGAGTTCCAAGTGAACGACAGGAGAAGAAACCGCGAAAATCTGCTTTGAAAGCTGTGATCCATCCACAGACCAGTTTCGACATCCCAACCCCACGTGTTCAGTCCATCGCTGGCACACCTTACGGCTCAGAGGATGAAGCCGAGATTGGTGACATCCATCGTGCCCAGAAGCTCAGTATTTCCATGTCCACTATTGATAACGGTGTTTACAACCGATCCATCCGAACAATTGTCCGCGGGGACTTCTTAGGTCCGCAGGATCAAGGCGATGGTAGCCGTCGTCGCCGTCGAAAATATTTAATCGCAACTGACTTGAGTGAAGAGTCGGTATATGCCCTCGAGTGGACTATCGGGACGGTTCTGAGAGACGGAGACACGATTTTCGCCATCTACGCCATGCATGAGGACTCCACTACTGCGGCATCGGTGCAGGTCGGCGAGGGAGCCAGAGTGATGAAAGATACAACGGCTGTCGTTGGCACCCAGACGAAAGAAGCCAACCAGAATTATGGATCCCGTACAATCCTTGGTCGACTTGGCCCTGGTACTGCCAGCAAGACACATTCTGCTGATTCCCGAGCATCGTCAATCACCGAGTCAGAACGGGTGAGGGCAGTTGAGACTGTGTCTCAGACTTGTGTGAAGTTGCTACGGAAAACGCTCTTACAGGTCCGTATTGCCGTGGAAGTGATCCACTGCAAGAATCCGAAGTCTATGATCACTGAAGCTGTAAGTTTTTTCTCTGTTCTCAACCACCCTATTATCTTTGGTCCATGCTTACAATGACTCTCAGATTGATGAACTTGAGCCTACACTCGTTATTGTAGGTGCTCGAGGTCAGAGTGCACTGAAGGGGTGAGTGACGATTTCTAGTTCGTTATGCTGCTGGATAAAATACTAACCTTACTTTTAGTGTCCTTCTCGGCTCATTCTCCAACTATCTTCTTTCCAATTCCTCTGTGCCAGTAATGGTTGCACGCCGAAAGCTGAAGAGGCATACGTGGAAAGACAAGCTCAAGGGCACTGCACATGTGCGCCTATCCAATAATCTAATTACTCCGAAGAGTCTTTCTCAGGCCAAAGTGGATTGATCTGGTGTGCTTTATTTTTTTCATGTTACTCTCTGGCTTGTCTTTTCACGGATCGGATCATGCGAGGCGCCTATCTTGCACTGCGTTTGAAGGCGCATTAGACCTGGGTTATCAATATCTCTATTTAACGCGTATGGATACCCTACTTTTCACTGGCTCAGGATCTCACAATATGCTGGCTCTTTTTTAGTTTACTTCTCGTTCTTAACCTGCTCTTAATTCAGGTCTTCGATATTATTGCTTTGTGGCGCAATCTGCTCTTAATTGCTTAGACACCTTGAATAAAAGAACTTTGTATAATGGAAAAACAGATATGTTCCTAGCTATTACTCCATTCACATGTAACTATACCTTTGCACCGGGCTTCGACCCAGTCCAAGTTGGGCTTAGCTGGGCCTACAACATAGGGGAACGAGCACCTAAACGCCAAGACATGACCCGACCTACGCACCTCATCACGTGCAACGTCACCGCCCAAGCTCCCCCATCGAGACAGCTGGACCAACCCCCCAGTCCCACCTTTGCTCTATTCCCCATCCTTGCAATTTTTACTCTGAAATTCGCCCGTGGAGGATCAGATTCGCTATGGCCGACTCTATTGACCCCCGGATGCCCTCCATCAAGCCCCGGTTCCGCTACAATACCATCGGAGGCATTAACGGACCGCTGGTTATCCTCGACAATGTGAGTTGACGATATCCTGACAATGAAGCGGGAAATGTATGCTAATGATGAAATCCTCCAACAGATCAAGTTTCCCCGTTATAACGAGATCGTGTCCCTGACGCTCCCCGATGGCACAGAGCGCAGTGGTCAAGTGCTGGAAGCCAGAGGTCCGTTCCCCACATTCTGCCGTCCCGACTAGGAGTATGAAAGCTGACTGCTATATATACAAATAGGAAACCGGGCTGTTGTGCAGGTGCGGACTAATACCTCATCGCTAACACGAAAGACATTGAATTAACGTAGCTCGTTTGTGAATTAGGTGTTCGAAGGCACTTCCGGTATCGATGTGAAGAAGGTTACAACTATCCGTTGAAATGGGTTGAATATGTGCTGATAGATCGTTAGACCAAAGTCGAGTTTAGCGGCCACAGCTTGAAACTTGGCGTCTCCGAGGACATGTTGGGCCGAACATTCGATGGCTCAGGTCGAGCTATTGATAAGGGCCCTAAGGTGTTAGCGGAGGAGTACTTAGATATCAACGGCCAGCCTATCAACCCCTACTCACGAGTATGCGCACTTTCACCGATCTAAGATGGAACTACGGAAAGCTGACGAACGGATAAGGTGTACCCCGAGGAGATCATTTCGACTGGTATCTCCGCTATCGATACCATGAACTCCATTGCTCGTGGACAGAAGATCCCTATCTTCTCCGCTGCCGGTCTTCCACACTCGGAGCTAGCAGCACAGATTTGTCGGCAAGCCAGTCTAGCTAAGCCTACTAAGGATGTTCACGACGGCCACGAGGAGAACTTCTCCATCGTCTTCGCCGCTATGGGTGTTAATATGGAGACAGCCCGTTTCTTCAAGCGCGACTTCGAGGAGAACGGCAGTATGGAGCGTGTCACTCTATTCCTGAACTTGGCCAACGACCCTACTATTGAGCGTATTATTACTCCTCGTCTTGCCCTGACCACCGCCGAATACTACGCCTACCAGCTCGAGAAGCACGTCCTGGTTATTATGACTGACATGTCAGCCTATTGTGATGCCCTACGTGAAGTTTCCGCTGCTAGAGAAGAAGTCCCCGGTCGTCGTGGTTACCCCGGTTACATGTACACAGATTTGTCCACCCTCTACGAGCGTGCTGGACGAGTACAGGGCCGTAATGGTTCTATTACACAGATTCCCATTCTGACCATGCCTAACGATGGTGCGTTTCTCAAGTTACACTTTAAGTCGAATACAACTAACCCACACCTTCAGATATCACCCACCCCATTCCCGATTTGACTGGTTACATTACCGAGGGCCAGATCTTCGTTGACCGTCAGCTCGACAACCGCGGTATCTACCCACCAATCAACGTCCTGCCATCTCTATCCCGTCTGATGAAGTCCGCCATCGGCGAGGGCCGCACCCGCAAGGACCACTCAGATGTGTCTAACCAGCTGTACGCCAAGTACGCCATTGGTCGTGATGCCGGTAAGCAGCCCACCTTTCCACACCCCACGAACACCTCTAACCACCCCAACTAGCCGCCATGAAAGCCGTTGTCGGAGAAGAAGCCCTCTCCTCGGAAGATAAGCTCTCCCTGGAATTCCTCGAGAAGTTCGAGCGCACCTTCATCAGCCAGTCTCCCTACGAGTCGCGCACCATCGAAGAATCCCTCGACCTCGCCTGGAGCCTCCTGCGCATCTACCCTAGGGAACTCCTCAACCGTATCCCCAAGCGCATTCTTGACGAGTTCTACGCCCGCCACGCCCGTAAGATTCCTAACAAGGATACCCGCGATAACTCGCATGAGAACTTGATCGACGCATGAGGAAGTGCTGTGTGTTGAGCTGAATTCCAGGTCTTGCGCATGTTGAATTAAATTACTGTTCTTGTTGTGCGGCTGTTCGTATCTTTTGGTTGTTATTTTCTTTCTCTTCTTGCTCAAGCATGATACATTATCGAATCTATTTCAGGGGCTATTTTGGCTCTGTAAAATCATGATCGGTTTGTTCATCGGTTCTATGTGTATAGAGGTCTTTTAGAAGTGGTGGGTAATAGACTGCTATTGTTCTAGAGTTTAAAGATATCTATTATGAAGACAGTCCCGAAAGATGAAGAAAAACAAAAGACTAAGGGGATATCAATTTTTTTTTACTTTTACCCAAAAAGAGTCGCCAATCAAAACGCTTTTCCCAAGACCATCTCGCAATGTAGAGCATAAGCATCAAGGCATCAAGGCATCATGAAACCTCTCTAGCGAGACAGAACCAAAAATAAAGATAAAGATATGAAACGGTGGAAGGTATTTCATTCTATGCAAATATCGAAAAGCGCTCAGAAGCGCAGATCCCAGCCGATCTTAGGGCCCAATCGAGGAAGCTCGTCGGCGACCTGCTGGACATCCTTGTCACCACGGCCACTCAGGTTCAGAACGATGTTCTGGCCCTTGCCCATTGTCTTGGCGACTTGCATCACACCCCAGACGGCGTGCGAGGACTCCAGGGCGGGGATGATACCCTCGTGTTGGGCGAGGGCGCGGAATCCAGCGAGGGCCTGGCTGTCGTCGGCGGCGATGAAGGTGGCGCGGTTGGTATCCTTCCAGTTGCTGAGTTCGGGGCCGACACCGGGGTAGTCGAGACCAGCAGAGATTGAGTGGGTGTCTGAGATCTGCCCGTGCTCGTTCTGCAGAACGTAGGTGCGCACGCCGTGGAGGACGCCGTGGGAGCCACCGGAGAGGGTGGCGGAGTGGCGGTTGGTGTCAATGCCGTCGCCAGCAGCCTCGACACCGATGAGCTTGACGCTTGGGTCGTTGGAGAAGGGGTAGAACATGCCGACTGCGTTGGAACCACCGCCGACACAGGCGATGACGGCATCGGGGAGCTTGCCGATCTGGGCCTGCATCTGCTCCTTGGTTTCGTTGCCGATCACGGACTGGAAGGTGCGGACGATGGTGGGGAATGGGTGGGGGCCGATGGCGGAGCCGATGATGTAGTGGGTGGTGTCGAGTTCGACGACCCAAGCGCGGAGAGCCTCGTTGACCGCATCGCGAAGAGTGCGGCTTCCAGCCTCGACAGCAATGACGGAGGCACCGAGGAGCTTCATGCGGAAGACATTGAGACCCTGGCGACGCACGTCTTCGGCACCCATGAAAACGGTACACTGCATGCCGAACTTGGCGCAAACTGTGGCGGTAGCAACACCGTGCTGGCCAGCACCGGTCTCAGCAATAATGCGGGTCTTGCCCAGGCGACGGGCAATCAAAATCTGTCCAAGAGCATTGTTGATCTTGTGACTTCCAGTGTGGTTAAGATCCTCGCGCTTCAACCAGATGTTGGCACCGCCAACGTGGTCAGTCAGACGCTGGGCCATGTGCAAGCTGCTAGGACGGCCCATGTAGGGGTAGTAGGAGCGGAATTCCTCCCAGAAATTGGGGTCGTTGTTGGCAATATTGAAGCCGTGCTCGAGCTCGGCCAAGCAATCCATAAGGGACTCGGGGACATACTGTCCACCGAACTCACCGAAGCGCGAGGGCTGAGCAGATGCATCCTTTGTGACATTGAGGGCCTCGAGCTGGTCGGCGAGACCAGGTCCGGCGGGGGTGTCGGAATCGGTGATCACTTTGGTAGGTTGGACCTGAGCAGAGGGCTGGGCCTTCTGAATGGCCTCGAGAACGTTGATCTCGTGGGTCAGAACGCCGGTGGCATCACGCTCACGTTTGCGTCCAGAGATGCTGGAAAGGTACTCCTCGGCAGCCTTGGCGGCCTGCCCAGCAGGGGCCTTACCAACGCAAGTGATAATCTGGCTGCCAATGACAACACCCTCGGCCTGCTCCTGGACGGACAGGAAGTGCTCACGGGTGCTGACACCGAATCCTAATGCAGCAGGGACGTTGCCGGAGTATTCGTGGACACGGTGCAGAAGCTCGGGGATGTTTGCGCTCAATGAACCAGTAGCACCGGTCACACCCATGCGGGAAACGACATAGATAAAGCTATCTGCGATCTTGCAGAGGAGACGCATGCGAGCATCAGAAGTGGCAGGGGCGATAAGGGGAACGTATGAGAGACTGAAATTGAGTAAGCAGGCTGCATCATCATAGACAAGTGATAAATATTTGAAGAGTAAAAATCGAGAAACTCACCCAGCGCTTGAGCAAAGGTCACGGAAACGGACAGCCTCCTCCGGGGGCAAGTCAACCATGATAAAACCATTGACACCAGCCTCCTTGCAGTCACGGAGCATACGCTCCTCACCGTACTTGAGAACAGGGTTGAAGTAACCCATGAGCATCAGCGGGGTCTGCAGACCGCGGCTGCGGGCAGTGCGGACAAGCTCGAGGACGGTAGTGAGGGTAACACCATTCTCAAGAGCCTTTGTGTTAGCGGTCTGAATGGTGGGGCCATCGGCGATGGGATCTGTGAACGGAATGCCAAGCTCGATGATATCTGTGAGACCGAATGTTAGCAAAGATCATCCCTTTGATCAACTTTCACTTGGGGTTGAATTACCGGCGCCGCCATTCTCGAGGCCGAGGAGGATATCAACGGCCTCCTCAACGGTGGGGTATCCTGCGGTAATGTAGGCCACAAGGGCTGCACGGTTCTGTGCCTTGCACTTCGCGAAGGTCTGCTTGATAGCTTCCATGATGCAGGGTAATGTGAAAGTGGCGGGGCAAAAGAGTGTGGTGAGAAGGAAGAAGAGAAGAGGCCAATGGGAGGCAAACGATCCCTATATATACGTTCGGAGTTGGGATGCGTTACGCGTTAATGTTAGGTCAGGGATGGGGTAAGGTGATGTTATAAAAAAGCAAACGATCTGTATGAGTCAAATGCAATTGTCCTTTTTAGAGGCCGGTTTCGCTGGGCCCCGCGGGTCACGTGCCTTGATAAGATAGTGAGTGTCACGGTTTAATGAGCCTTTTCCCGCCTTTTTCTGCCGTCTAGGTAAGAGGGCGAGGATAACTATAAAAGAAATTGTTATCTAAAAAGGTCTCTAGCAAGATTGATATCAAAAAAACATTATAATGTTGCATAAGTGGCTGACTATTCTTGTACATGGTAGGGATGATGTAGGGCTGAGATTTCCACGTGATATGCTTTACATCCACATTCTACAACATACAAGAGAAGAACAAGTGAAAGTAATCTGATCTGCAATGTAAAAAAACTTTTACTCGGAATAGGTAGATTAAGGCAGAAGATAAGGATAATAAACGGCCCAACCGTTCAGGTCCCAAACGCCGTAACAATGCAGTAGGTAGGTAGTAAGTGACAACAACCCTCAGCTGAAATAACAAGAAGTGGTAAGTACCGAATGAACTCCAGCCAAAATTTTCAAACAGAGAAGTGAAAATCAAATAGGGACCATGGGAGGAAGACCCGAGATCACGAAGAGAACTTCATAGTGTCAGAGATCCTCCACCCAAGAACCCCGTCCAAAAAGCACCAAGCAATTGGATGAAATGGACAAAACCGCCAAGATTCCAAAAAAAGAAACCCAAAGTCTATCCCATTTCCAATCCAAGAATAACCCGCGAATGCAAAAGGAATGACAAGCAAGCGCCCGCTATGGTGAATGGTAGTACAAAAGCCCAGAATGTATGTTTTGTGCGCAAAAAAGGGAGTGGAAGCCGCAATGCCCGGCATGATAATATGCAACCCAAGAAGGAATGAATAAGACACCGTCTAGATGCGAGAATGTCTCAAGTAAGACAATGTCCAAAATGTCAAAAAAATCAAACGCAGAATGCAAAGGCCGCAAGTTTTGGTGTATGTTGAGGGCATGAGGCATCATAATGTAATGTAAGGACGGACGTAAATCATGGTCAATATGTGGGATGCGAGGTTCGGCAGATAAAATGTCTCTTGATACCTTTTCAGGTGGAAAGAGACCTTGTATCCGACGGACGGCAACCCGGTGTCTGGGCTTGGTAAGGAGCGACGTGAAAAGGAAAATCGTATCTTCAAAAAGGCGGGGGGAAGTATGAAAAATAGAATGGAAGAAAAACGCAGCAAGAGATCAGATAAAAGGACCAGCCAGGAGGGGGATCAGTGGCCGCCGTGGGCGGTGTCGTGCACGGAGTACACGGGATCCAAGTAGGTATAGCATCCGCCATTTCCTGGTGCACCGGTGTGAGGAGTGTTGGGGCCGAGAGGGTGCATGTCCCAAGATGCTCGCGGAGCCGCGGGTGGCAGACCGTTGTGATGGCTCATGGCTGGATACGAGTATGCTCCAGCAGATGTATATGGCTGGGACACTGCGCTCATAGACCGGATATTGGGCGCCGAAGACAGGTGGGAGGAGTGGTCTGCCTGCGAGTAGGTCTGCACGGGCATACCATGGTAGCTGTGGCCAGCACCACTGTCGGAGATAGACTGAGGGGAGTTCGCAGTGTGAGGCTCGGTGCCGGAATCCGAACCAGTGCCATGGCTGGCATGGCTGGTATAGGTGGTGGTCATTGGTGTAGGGATGGCACTTGCCGTTGAGGAATAGCTGGCAGACTGGATATAGGAAAAGATTAGTAACTTGTCACAATAAGCCGATAAATTTCAACATACGTATTTCCCAATGATCTTCTTTAGTGCCTGGCTCAGGACCTTCCAAGGGAACACCTTGACATCCTTCTCGATATTGCGGGGCTTGGGAGCAGGGAAGCCCATGATAACCTTGAAGAAGTCTTCGCTCTCGACCTTGGCCTTGGAGACGGTGAGGGGACGGAACCCCTCCAAGTTGCGACGAATTCGATTCTTCTCTTCAACAGTGAAGCGCACAGCCACGAGGGACTCGAGCAAATAGATGGTGTCGACACTGGTGACGTAGCACTCATTCTTGTCCTCCCATGAAATGCAGCTGATGCAGATACTGTTGGGGGCGCGATCTTCGGGAGACACAGCCTTGAAATCGCCCTGGATGGTGCTGCCAGTTTGAGAGCGGGTGAATTGCACCAGGCGACGTCGGCATGCGCGTTCCTCCTTTGTCCAGCCTTGAGTCATAGTATCGAGATCACCGTTCAGCTTGAGGATAGCCTTGGTGGGATATATGGCATAGGGATTGAAGGCTGGGTTGTGGGGCATGGAGTGCGTTTGCATGGTGGAGGTGCGGATCAAAGTGGGATTTGAAGTACCACGCTGGGGGGGACCCTTGTGCTGAGGAACATGTGTCAACGCGAGACCGTTGCGAGCATCATTGCTCACAGAGACGAAAGAGGGGCTCCAAGCTGGGGTGATAGGGGAAGGGACACGGAGAGCGGGCTGAGAGGTGGCAGAGACAGAAGAGTAATGGCCAGAGCCAGTCTGGGGAGAGGATGCAGAGTGATATGGCGCGACAAACCCAACCATGGCGGGAAGAGGCTGGAGGTAAGGCGAGTAGGACGCTGACACAGAGCGGCCGTGGTAGCCCTCGTGGTGCTCAACCTTGGGGATCACGGATCCGTTGTGTCGTTTGGCAGATGCCACAGGAGCATCAGAATATGAAAACTTCCGCTTGCGGGAATCCGCTGATGGCGAAGGGTGGGAAGCTTGCTCATAAGTGTACACACCAACCTGGAGAGAAGTGGCGGGACAGTCATCTTGGGTCTCCATCAAGACGGACAGAGGAACAGCAAAAGATGGGGATCCAGTAGACAAGAATGCAGGCACGTCAGCCGAGAGACCGTACTGGAACGCAGAGTCCTGGAATCCAAGGAAATGCGGAAGCGATTCACACTTCTTGGAGCCAAAAACCACATACAAAGCTGCGTACGAGGAAGCGTGGAGGTCATAGGGGCACTGGATCTGGACCATCACCCTAGTTCCTTCACTTCCCCGCTGGGGGTTGTATGTCACAATTTCGGGTAGCTGACGGTGGCGTGCACCCATCATGGGCGACTGAGACTCTTCGTACGAGCTAGCGTACTCGTTGGGCAGATACGGAACACAGTCCGAGATCTGACTTGCCTGATCGGCCATAGGCGAGGGGACCATGGCGGTCGTCACATAAGGCGATTGGCCGTAGTTCGAGTAAGAGGCAGCATCATGCAAAGATCGAGTGGAACCGTAATCTGTGTTTGGTCTCAGCACACGGGATGTTCCGTCGCAAACCAAGTTCTTCAGCTGCAACGTACCTGTGATGGCGCCGGCAACGGGCTTCTGGAAAGCAGACATGGACAAGATGGGCTCGGACTTGGCCCACGGGCCGTCTGAAAATGCACCGATAAACTGTGATCCTTCTGAGTCCGACAGATCCAACGACTCGCCGAGTATGAGAGGCGTTTGAAAATCCGGGTCGAACTGTGACGGTAGAAGAAACAGGTCAGCGGGAAGGTTTCTTATGCACACGGGAAGACAGAATGCAGTAGAAGATTCAAACAGGATGCTATGCTGGAACACCTATGCAAAACATGCGGGCATCCACAAGAGACAAGTCCAAAGCTAGGCTGGGAATCTTACCAAAACACCGTGTGTCTTCGAATAAGCCAGCTTGAAGATGTTGCAGCGAGTGCAACGAGACAGAACCTCTTGAAGCGAATGACTGGGAATTTATTCCAAACGATTGTAGGGTCGAAAAGCACAAGCAAGAATGGAGTGCTCTCCGAGACAGAACGAGCGACGAGATGAAGCTGCTGTCGGTCTCACAAAAATGGCGGTAACAAAAGGCCTCGAATCACCATCCAGCAATCAACGACTAATGCTGAAACTAGGAACGGCTGGCTGCAGAAATCGACTCAGATCTCGACCGTCGTGCCCGACAGTTCATAAAGAGAAGCCGAAGAACTAGTCGCTTGACAGGAGAGAGGTCCACCGCCAATTGGGACGGGAGAGCCGAGATTGGTCGGAGGATGACGAGCAACGAGCGTGGACTGGCGAGGTTTCGCTTTTCTTTATTGCCTTGATCCGCGAGGTGTTTCGGGAAAGACTTCGAGCAGATTGGGCCACGATGAAGCAGATGCAGATGATAGGCTACTCAATTAATGAGTATACGAGAACGTTTTCAGACTATAGGAATCGGATCGGTGCATAGGGGGGAATGAACTCACCGAGATGAATCAAAGTGAAATAAGAAGGAAGCTCTGATGTGAAACCAAATTCGGCCGTTGACTATCCCAGATAATATGCAAGATCCGAGGGTCGTCAAACCTGAAGAGAAAGCTAATGTCAACAACAAACACTTGACCAGAGCGGGACGGGGAAGCCATCCGACGGCTTTGACAACTATCGTCATTTCCAGTCGTTGGTATAGTTCAGCGAATACAAATTGCGGCTGCAAGGAGATGGCATAAAAGATCAAGAGCCGAAAGAGGAAGTATGCAAGGCACGAGGGGCACAAGTGAGACCGTGGGCAAAGGGAGGGGTGCACATAGATACTAACCTTAAGCTGATAAAGTGATCTGCCTGAATAGTTCCTTTCCGGGTAACCAATATTCCTTAATGGCTCTGAGACCCTGCCAAACAGAGGCGATTCCGCAAGCTTTCTGGACCCAGTGTCTTCCGAGACAGTCAAGCGATGGTTGAATTTCCGTGTCCTGTCGAATATCCCGATATCCAGTGGGTAGTTTTCGCCTGTCGCAAGTACAAAAGCCCGAAGCGAATCCTTTTTTTTTTTTGTTTCGAACGTTGGAGGTTCAACTGACACCGCGGAGCAAACGGGATCTACAGAGATATCGCGCAAACGCCGGGCAAGTAACACTTTCTTCGTCCCCTTAGATCCAAATCGGAGTGGTTCGAATATAAAAAAGAATTGGCGAAAATTCCGCGGTTCCCAAAAGAATTAAATATTAAGTCGAGTTATAATTCCAATAAACGTAGCGAACGTGGTTCTCGTAGCGGCAGGTAAGCGAGCGTAAGAGCGAACGTGGTGAGCGAATGTGCGACTTAGCAAGTCATAATAAATTTCAAAGGGGGATGGAAAGTGGGATGCAAGGAAGATGGGACCAGAAGGGTTAAAAGCAACGATTGAGGATTATACGGAATATTATTATTAGCAGTCAGAACAGAGCAGGGTCGTCCCTAAACTGTATAGGGCCAACTTGTGGGGGGAGGGATTTTGTTTTTTTATTTTTTTATTTTGATTTGGGTTCTTTTTATTCTTTTTATTCTTTTATTCTTTTATTCTTTTGCGGATTAACTAGAGGATTCATAATTATTATTAATAAACCGAAAATTCAATTAGCAAACTAAAAGACTAGTGGGAAATCCTAGCGGGGGATGCACAGAGGGTATTGGGTATTATTACCTTTGTATGTAGGTACATCTAGATGTATACCTACCTACCTATGTACTTGTACATCTTTTCCCGTCACACAGTCTAGGGTTAGAATATCGAGTCTCGAGTACTCGAAATATCAGAAAACAAGGGCGGAGCATACACAAACGACATGACCAGTGTGTCGGAAACCACTAGAAGCCGACTTGTTATGCTTTCCGAGATGTCCGACCAAGTCCGATCCACCTGGTTTTCTTAAGATAGGACTAGGATGTTCACCAACGATCTGGGACTTGCTCCAACCTTCTATTTGCAGAACCTTGAATTGATCACCCAACAGGACTGTAGCGGTGCATCACGTCGGGGACGGAAGAATTGGAACGTGGTGAGGTTCAGAATAAATACCAATCTGGCGGCCTGCGCCACTAGCAAAAGAAAAAAAAGTGGGGAGTCATCCAGCATGTGGGAGAAAAAATATTTTATATACAGAAGAGGAAGGACGTTACCATATATATGACCGACGGTTACTTGTGTTGTATGTTGTATCATATATGTTGTTGTGTGTATGCAGTCGTTTCCTGAGCATAGCCTCTTTGTTAGTACTGTAACCCTAGACATCCATGTCGAGGTCAGGTCGGTCCAATCAGGGTTGGGGTCTATAACAAGGACTCTCTCCGAAGCCCTCCTCTCTTACTATATCCCTGCCAATCACAAAGCTTCACCGGTAACCCTGTTAGCTCCCTACTTCAGCTTCGGGTACTTTTCCATTCGAGTCCTTTTTATCTTTTAGTCTTTTCTTTTCAAATGTAATCCCTTTGTCAGCATCTCCTTACGCCCACCCTTGGGCCATACCGCAAGTGGAAAAAGAGACCCTTCCTCTTTTCTCCAGATGCTCCACTCACGATCTCCCCTACGGAATAGGGTCCGTCACGATCGTACGGAGTACATACATCTCGTGTCGTCATGCCGGTCAATATGATAATTCACATTTCCCGTTTCCTGACACGAGGCTGCATGTAAGTATGATGTGTACTCCCCATACCAAAGTCCCCGGATATTTCCCGATCGTCTTTTCCACCTGATGTGTTTTGGTAAATGTCAGAAATATAGAAATAGACAGCATACCAAGGATATTGTACGGAGTACTCCGTAAATCAGGAAAGGATAAATATCGGAGTACACTTACCTTGGTCATCCAAGCTCGGGTTTTCCAACACGAGTCTAAGTTTAGCACACCTTGCATTTTCAGGTGACTCGGTGGCCTGACTATGCAAGGGTCCTGCCCGGTGATTGGTTCTCTTATCTTCCCCCTAGACCCGATCGGGCTATCACTCTTGGACATCCGTGCTCCCCTCGAGGTAACGGGACCGTTCCATTATCAGCTGCTTCTGCACTGTCACCTTATCCGGGACTTGTATATTTAGATCGGCTTCGTATTGAGGATGTGATATGATGTCGATATTCTGCATGTACATGTACTAGTAGTCATGTACCCAATTCCCATTCCAACGGCTCCCGGCCCACGGGCTATCTCCAACGCGCAGGAGATCATTAGTGTTCTACAGAATAATTACCCGATGCAGCACGTCGAGGTCTGCAGTTCCGTAAGAACGTCAACCATGCTATTGTTACAGATGCGATGCAGATGCAGCCGCGGACGCAGACGCAGATGCAGACACAGATGTTGAAAATAGAATAAATCTCCGTACGGGTTTCTTGTTTGTTTCTTGATTCTATTTAATCTTCCAAGGTGGCCTCTATGAGATCATAGACTGAAGGGCTGAATCTGATATATCGACATTAATTATTGACATAAGTTTATTTAGATGTTGCTGACTCCGACATAAATAAAAGAACAATAAAAGAACACTAACCCTAACCGGGGCATTAACGGTCGGATGCACAACTCCGACTATTATTTCGTGCAGCTCCAGCCACCCACGATGTAGGAAAGGGATAAAAAGGGGCAGATAAAACTATTTGTTTTGAAGCGCGTTACCTATCGATAAGATATGCACTCGACTCCGCGATTTTGCCACGTTGAAGACGTCCCGAGGTACGATGTACTCCGTACTCGGTGGACACTACGGAGTACGGAGTATGAGATTTTGTGTATCCGATTTTATGACCACATCAAAGCATCACTCAAAATTCGGTAATGGGGCTCATGAGAAACCATACAATACAGCAGTGGAGCGCGCAATGATCACCAATCTGCCCAAGAAGCTTCAATCGGATCAGCGATCGCGTCCAAAACAGTCAACGGCTTCTTCAGGCATCTTCGGTTAACAGATTAGATTATTGTTTGATGCCTTCCTTCTTCCCTTGCCATTCGTCACCGGATAGTTAATAATCTTCCCTACATGCAAACTGTATCAATGTCCATGTTCGTGTTCCTCAACTCCCAACCACCCCCAACCACCCCGAATCACTATCAAACAGAGCAAGGAGCGCCTCATCCAAGGGACCAATCTATATCAATCCCAATCATCCCTTTAGAAATTCTAAAAACCAATGGGTAATCTTATTAGTTTGTAACGGAAACATTTCCCCAATTGGCGTTTGCACTTTAATCGGCCAATCTTCGGAAGGAATATCAGTCTCCACCTCGAAACCCAACCCCCCGAACACCCGAAAAGGAAAAAAACGCGAAAAGCCTGTACGAATTAAACACCTATGCCCAAAAGCAGAGCTTGTACGGAGTATCCCTACTGATCAATCCCATCTCTTAACTAGTGTGTCAAGCAATAATTTGGATCTTCCATGCCCTTTGAACGTTCCAAAGTAAAAAGCGGATCACCATATCCCCAGTTCGGACTTGCAACCTTGTTTGAAGCCGCCAATGCTGTACGCGACAATCCTATTGGCAGGTACGTGCCCCATCCATATCCATGATGATACTATTGACCGGGTGGATATCCACTACTCCGTACCTAGGGCTTCGGGCTCTCCGGTTCCTGCT